CCATATTCCAACTTTCTGGCTTCTACCATACGGCACCTATTATTTAGTGGACCCCAAAAGGAACTCCAATTTTGACAACCACCCTTATATGTTCTCCCACAAAATGCCTTCAATCCTAAGTTTAAGCATCCCCAAACCCTGCATTTAAACCCTGAACGCTAAACCCTAGACGACCCGGTAAAGGAAGTCTTGCTGTACCTGCAGTCGGATAAGGGCCCTTAAAAAAAGCCTAAACGTCTCTAAACCCTAAACCCTGAACCTTAAAACTTAAACCCTAAGTCCTAAACCTTAAACCCCTAAACCCTAAGCCCCAGACCCTAAGCTGGAGCCCGAGGCCACAGCGCTGGAGTTCACGGCGTTGCTACTTGACCGCTTCGGCGGCCTGATCAACGAGTTCGGTCGCCCAGACGCTCCGCGTGCTTCCTTGCCCTCAGGGTTGCTACAAGAGTTACTATATGGGAGTTTCCGAAAATTAGGGGTACCGTCGTATTTTGGGGTCCTTTTTATAAGGATCCTATTATCTAGGGCACTGTATTAGGGTCCCTTATTTTCGGAAACTTCCGTATGGACCTAAAAGGTACTATGGCTTCAAAGGGGTGTATAAGGGCCATCATCGGGCGTGATAAATCAGGCTCCCTGGAAGGCGTTACAAAGCTAATAGAGGCCTGTATAGAGTTCCAGACAGTCTAAGGATCTGATGATCATAGGACTCAGTAACTAGGTGAGAAGTACAGACAGTCATAAGAACCCTAACCCTACTCCCTAATGCCCTAAACCCTGAACCCTTATCATCTTCATGCTGCCCCGCCGTCCTCCATACAGACCGTGGCCCTGCCCGCAGGACCCGCGAGAGCTGCGCCAAGATCCCCGAGCCGGGCTCTCAAGAACCCTGAACCCCAAACCCGAAATCCTGAACCCCTGAACTCTGAACCCCATAGGCCCCTTAAAAGAACCCCTATAGTACCCTTTAAAGGAACCCGAGTGAGAGTGAGGTGCTGAATCCCGCACCCTGAACCCTAAACTCTAAACCCCTGAACGGAACCCTGTACTCTCAAATGAAGCTGCAGGCAGGGCACTGCTTTTGCTGCTCCAAAGCTTGATGCGATAACCTCAACCTCAGACCCTGTCAAGTCCTGAACCCTACGGTGGATGATATAAATCCTGCATTACCCCTAGTAAGGAATATACCATAATTCCCATAGTTTAGGGTCCTTAAGGTAATGCTTGATTGATATCATCAACCGTATGACCCCGAGACTCTAAACCCTAACCTAAGCCTATGACCCAAACACCCAAACCCACAAACCCCTGAAACCTATTGTAGTGGCCTTGAACAGTAGCCCTTTCAGTAACTAAGCCTCCCAGTGGGCCCCTTTTTCCCTTTTTGTAGTCCTAGGTTCCTTATAAAGTTACCCAATACCAAATAGGGAGCCCTTTTTATTCCTAGGTTACTGGGAATCCTAGGCAACTGTGATAGCAGCCCTTCGTAACACCTCTTTAAACGAATCCGAAAATGCTAGAACCTAAACCTCACAGAGCCCTTTTTGGGGTTCATTGTAAACTAGTATACCTCACTGTGAAACTGCACAAAGCCCAATAAACCCGATGAAGGCCTTTAACACCCTAAACAGATCGAACCCTGAACCCGAAACCCTACAACACCCCATCATGATATCAGCCCTTCTATTATTGCAACCCCTTAAAGGAACCTCCAAAACCTTGAACCCTACGTGAGCCCCAGAAAAAAGCCTATGAACATGTATAACGCCTCACATGAAGTCACCTAAAAGCCCTAGACCCTTCATATGTAGTTTGGGATCCCTTACCCAGAGAACCCAAAACCCCTTAATTGATGAATATACCTTAAACTATAGAGGCCTTAATACGATGATTTAATGTATATTCCTTAATTAAGGGGTATTGGGATCTCTGGGCAAAGCGGACCCAAGCCCGCTCCCTGTGAAAGGCGCCAGATGGATCTCGCCCGCGAGGGCCGCTATCGGAAATGCAACGCGCCCGGGCCCTTGGAAGGAAGCCTTGAACGGCTGCCGGGTTTTGGGTTTTTGAGGGTTAGAGGGCTGAGGTGAGTTAGGGTTGGGGGTCTTAGGGTTATAGGATTGTCGGTTATGGATTCATAGGATTGTCGGGTTTTGAGGGTTAAGGATGGACCTTCCGTGTTTAAAGGGATCTTAGTAGGGTTATGGGTTATTAGGATTCTATGGTTAGGGTGTTGAGGGTTAGAGGGCTTAGGTTAGGGTTTAGGTTTTGGGGTTGTAGCGCTGTGGGGTACAGGCTCTATGGGGTCACGGGTTTGGGGTTTGTGGAGCTGATCATGGAGATCAGGTGCTACGAAGACTTCAAGGAGATTCACAGGCTGCTGGGCTCAGGCAGTCCCTGCAGTTTTCCTGGGCTTTCCTTCCTTTCGATTAGACGGGTAGCGGAAGAGTGCTGGAACAAGGTATTTTGCTCCTTTGCAGCAGGACGGGCAATAGAAGGGGGCTTGACTAAGGTACTGTACCCATTATTCTGCGAAACCGAGTGATGGTGAAGACAGTGCACACGGATGGTTCAGAAGTAGTCTCTGCCCCCTAAGCCCCAAACCAGGGCATTCGGTAACAGCTGACTTGGATAGACTGACAGATGGAGATGACGAGAAAGTAAGCAAACTATCATTGTAAAGCTTTGGCCCTTGTGGTCCCACATGTCTTAGGGATGCCTCCGGGGGATCTCTGGGAAGCTATCGTGCTCTTCATGTTGTTGACTGGAGGTCGCTAGGTTTAGGGCGTTTAGGGTAGCAGGGGTAGGGCCTCGTGTAGGGTTCAGGATTCAGGGTTTGTGCTTTCGGGGGTTTACCCGAAACCCTGAACCCCAAACCCGAGGGTTGAGGGTTCAGTGTTTAAGGTTCCGTGCGACCGTTGGCCTAAACTTCAAGGGTTCCCTTAAGGCTTCCCTTTAAGGGTTCCTGTAAGGGTTAGTATCAGGGTTCCTTAAAGGGTCCCTTTCGGGGCTCCTTTCAAGGTTCCCTTAAAGGGTTCCCTTAAAGGGTTCCCTTAAGGGTTCCCTTAAGGGTTCCCTTAAGGGTTCCCTTAAGGGTTCCTCTAAGGGTTGAGGTGGCCCCGGCGCATTGCAGGCCACAGCGGCATCACCAAGCGAAGTGCCAAGCTGAACAGCAGCTTGCAGGCGCTCTTGCTCTTGCAGCGAGGCTTTGGGGGTCGTATAGGGTGTCTGGGGTTCCTTTAAAGGGGTCTATCTTTAAGGGTATCGGGTTTATGGTTTAGGGTCGAGGTTTAGGCGTTTGGGGTTTGGGGTGATCTATTGACTGGTGCGAAGATGGTTCAGCCAATTTGCCATCTGAAACTGATGCAGCCTTGTGGCCAGTTTTCCTGTCGAGCATGCCGATATCTGGCAGCTGCTCTAAAGCCCATTTCCCTAAACCCTAAACCGTGCAAGTGCCTCTCTGCACACCAGGCCTTCCTGCTGCGCGGGGAGCGTGTGCACGGTTGAAAAAAAGCCTTGTCAGAGCCATCGCATGCAGGCCGTGCCACGAGACGTCTGAGGGACTACCCTAAACCCAAAAACCCTAACCCTGAACTTAAACCCAAAACCCAAAACCCTAAACCCAAAACCCAAAACCCTAAAACCCTAAACTCCCTAAACTGCCTACGTCAATGCATGCCGGTGCCATTTTGACTGCTCAAGACGAAACACCAAAAGGCAGTGATGTTTGCATAGGACTCTGCAACCGCTGACCCGAGTGTTCGAACATCCACCTTTTAATGTATTATGGTATATCTTGAACTACATGTCCATCAGCATGTGGAACTTCGAACAATTGCCACCCTGAGTGGTAACGCACGCCCCAGGCACATACCCAGTATTATATAGTATACCGTAGTGTAGTAGATTATTTCATATTGCATTTTGTTATCGTATGTTATAACTGATTATGGTCTTTTTTGGGGTGGTGGTATGTTAGAGTCTATTGTAGTATTATAGTATATTCTGGTAAATGGGGAGTATTATAGTATTTCATGGTTTATTTTGTATGTTCCGTGAGGGACATTTACTTCAGCTTTCGGCGCCTGTCGATGCCAGTGGACCATGGCATGTGGCTGGAGCCTCGTTTTTTGAGTTTCTCAAATGACTCTTTGTTGGCTAATCAGGGGTTTGGGGTTTAGGGTGTAGGAGTTTAGATTTGGGCTGGGTACTGCTCCCACGCTGTGCCAGTTGGAGAATATTCATAATATAAGTATGTGTAGCCCCAGATTTCACCCCAAGAATTGAAAAAAGACTGTTACAGGTTCGGGGAATGCCTAAACCATTTGATGCGACCTGTGTCTAAATGGCCTATCCATGAGCCCCAGGCCCAAGTTCCGGTCTTTGGTGTTAAGATGCATACATATATATATATATATATACATATATATATATATACACATACATACATACATACATATATATATATATATATATGTATGTATGTGTATATATGTATATATGTGTATATGTACATAGGTGTATATCTATAGATGTATATATGTATAGATGTATATATGTGTATATGTGTATATGTATATATGTATATATGCATATATGTATATATGCATATATGTAGATATATATATATATATATATATGTATATGTATATGTATATATGCATATGTGTATATAGATATCTACAGATATATCTGTATATACATGTATATGCATATACATGTATATGTATATGTATATATATATATATATATATATATATATACACATGTACATGCTGATTCCCTTCTGTTAGCCCGCTGTGTGTGTGGGGGCACATGTTCAGCAGCATGGACTTCTGTGGCGGACCAGCATGACATGTGAGGTGGGTGTTGTTGCCTTTGAGTGATGGTAGGAACGATTGACACGGTCTGTTGCTATCCACATCCTCGTGCGACACAACAAGTCAAGTGCACCTGCGACATGTGCTTTGCAAGGCTGCGCCGCTGGCGCGCCATGCCGTACGATGCCAGCAAGGTGCGTGGCCCATGTTGCACTGGATCGCACTGACTTTCCTGCAGCTTCTCGGCGAATAAGGGACAGAAACCGTGCCACGCAGCCTCCATGCATCAGAGCTTTTGCACGCATCCACGGCGAGTCGGAAGCCATGGCCGTTGCTGCGCGGCGTGCGCGCAGCAAGAGTCCTAGCCTCTCGACTCGAAGCGAGCTTTGCAGTGGCTGTTGCAACGTAGCAAGCCCAAACGAGACATGAGCAAATCCAGTCGCAAGATGTAGGCGTTACTAAGCCTCCCAGTGGGCCCTTTTTCCCTTTCTTTAGTCCTAGGTTCCTTATAAAGTTACCCAATACCAAAAAGGGAGCCCTTTTTATTCCTAGGTTACTGTGATACTTCGTAACACCTCTTTAAACGAATCCGAAAATGCTAGAACCTAAACCTCACAGAGCCCTTTTTGGGGTTCATTGTAAACTAGTATACCTCACTGGGAATCCTAGATTACGTCTGGGATCGAGGCCGGGGGTCTTTCCAGCTTTGGCTCGTGGGCTTACTGCTTTGCTGCGGGCACCAGCCTCTTGGCAGAGAGTAGGGTTTGGGGTTTAGGGTTTAGGGTTCAGGGTTTAGGGTTTAGGGTTTAGGGTTTTGGCAGAGAGTAGTCAGCCTCCGACGGGGACGAGAGGAACTAGGGGAAATCTTAAACCCTAAGCCCTAAAATCCTAAACCTCCATAACCGACCCAAACCCTAAACTCTAGACCCTGAACTATAAACCCTGAACCCAAACCTTCATAAGTTGACGTCGGACCTCTGTTGTCAATGAATGTTTTGGACAGCCCAAGGATGGCTCCAGTCTGCTTTCTGCCTGAAAGTGGCTTGGCATTGCATGAGGCCTATAGGTTCGGTACTGCCCCCACTCAGTAACAGTTGGATAATTTTCATAATATAGATAAATTAGGATCTTAATAGTAGCGCTATTATAGACTGTTACTGCATTGGGGCAGTACCCAACCTATAGGGCCAAAGGGTTAAGGTTTCGTGTGCTTTTTAACGGGCCTTAGGGTTAGGGTTTCGGTGTCCCCAAAGTCAAAGGGTTCCTTGAACGGTACTCTGCGGTTCAGGGTTGCTTGAAGGGGTTGTATAGGGGTACTTTCGGTATCTATAAACACTCTAGAAACAAGTACTAAAAGGGTACTGTAAGGCATTTGAGGTTTAGGGTTTCGGTCAGGGTTCCGGGCTTTAGTTTTAGTGTCTCAGGCCGTGAACGTAAAACTTAAAACACCACTCCACTAGATGCTAAATCTTAAGACATTCTACACCCGGACTATGTCTCTTAAAGCTCCCCTAAAGCCCTGCTGTCGAGGTTTGCAGACAAGGATCGGGTCTTTCCTGGCCAGCTCGCGATTTCTCACAGCCATCAATCTGGCAGCTTTGTCTTCTTGGCTCGTAGTTATTTTATGGTTCCAGGGTGTAGTGTTCAGGATTCTAGGGTGCATAGGGACCCATCACCCCTTTCTTACTAAGAACCAGGGAGTTGTCCGCGAAATGGCATGTCTCATCTGATCCTTAGAGTAGTCCAGCCCTGATCGGAGCCTTTTCAAGAACTTTGAAGTAGCCCCCTACTTGGAGGATCATGGGACTTAGTAAGTAAGGTTATAAGTACCCTAACTGGAGTTAAAAGGATAGTTACCTTAGTTATAGCCCTAGTTACTAAGTCCCATGACCCTCCAAGTAGAGGAGCCTTGTTCAGGAACCCATAAACGAAACCTTCAAGGAGCCGTTTAAGCTTAACGGAACTCTGAAGGTCACCATGACTACTTCTCTTCAGCCACTGGGATGGCTACTACAAGAGGACCGTGTCATTGACGCGAAGAGGCAGGCCTCCAACGCTAAACGCCACGCCACAAACCCTCAACCCTCAAGCCCTGCACCCTACACTGGGAGAGCCCGGCATGCATGGTGGGTTCAGGGGTTTAGAGTGTCGGGGTGGGGGACTAGGGTTTTAGTTTTGGTTACTTTGGGGCTGGGTAGCAAGTAAATGATAGGTTCGGGCTACGACAAGGGGTCCAGGGTTTTGGGTTTGCCCAAGCAGCCCCTTCCCGAAGCCCACGCCCGTCTCCTGCTTTCGTGCGAAGATGAAACATCAGCAGGGCGGCACAGCTGAGTTTCGGATCTTGCAAAAGCCTGATCCGGCACATCCCTAGATCCTAAACCCTAAACCCTAAACCGAAGCAGACTGCGATTTAGTTGCCCGGTTGACAAGAGCTGGCTCGCTTTGGCGATGTACTGGCCGGCTAGTCCCGTCATCCGCTGTAGTTTCCAGTTTCCGAGAAGACAGGAAGGATTTGGAGAGTTGAGCCCTGGACGACTCGACCAAAGTGCAACCCGACTCAAACGGCCTTTAACGTGACATAAAGAGCTGCCCGGGCAGGAGTTGCGCTTGCGGGGATTTAGGTGAACCTTACTTGGAGGATCATGGGACTTAGTAACTAGGGTTATAATCAGGGTAGCTATACTTATAACCTCAATTAGGGTACTTATAACCTTACTTACTAAGTCCCATGATCCTCCAAGTAGTACTCTAAACCCTAAACCCGATAGATCCCTATATAGAACCCTATAGCTCCCTTTAAGGAGCCCTTTAAGAGCCTTTATTAAGTCCCATGATCCTCCAAGTACACTTTGATCACGATGGGAAGGGGATGGGTGGGGTTTTCCCAGAGCATCGGGGCCCCAGGGCATGAACATGCAGAGAAGAGCTCGCCACGATGAGTGTCCCTTAAAGGGGATTATAAGGGTTCCTTTAAAGGGCTCTATAAGGGTACTATAGAGTTTAGGGTTTAGGGTTCAGGGACTTAGTAAGTAAGTAGTAAGTGTTGAGTAGACTCCTCTGCTTCTCTCTGGACAGACTTGGGGAATCATGGGACTTAGCAAGTAAGGTTATAAGTACCCTAATTGGAGTTACAAGTATAGTGAGTACTTGGAGGGTCGGGGGACTTAGTAAGCAGGTAGTAAGTAGACTTATAAGTACCCTAAAAGGGATCCTAATTGGGGTTATGGTACTTATAAGTCCCTAAAATAACCAGTTACTAAGTCCCCCGACCCTCCAAGTAGACTCCTCTGCTTCTCTCTGGACATAGCTTCTGTGCGTGGCAGGCTTGATGCCGGAGAAGGTGTGGAGTATGGACAGCACCCCGGCAGCGACACTTGAAGTCTTGCCAGCATTTTTCGTACAGCAGGGAGAATCGATCGAAGATTCTATGGCGATGTTGGCCTAAGGAACCGTACCATGATTCAAGTCAGCGAGGATCCAAATATTGTGGTTGCACCAGAGTTTCTTTCTGAAGAAGAGGTAGACCAGCTCCTGGCCGCTATCAGCGACCGCTGGTACCCCTCCTTGGTAGATGCATACGGGACCGGAGACTTAGGGGTACTTAGAAATAATTTTTAATATTTGGTTATTATAGTCCCTAAGAAACAGCAAAGATGATAATTTTTGCTAGGGTTCCCCAAGTTCAGTATAGGAGAGGCGACCCGATCCGTTCTTGATCGCTCGTCATACCAGTGCCATCTGGACTGGGCCGAAAGTCCTCTTGTAGAGACTTCGATCCCCAATACCGAACCTTTAAACTTTCTGTGTTCTTGTAGTTTAGTAGGAGTCGGAAAGTTGAACCTTTTATTTCTGTGGCTTATTGGGGTAGTAAGGAGAGGATTGAGGCGCGCTTGGCAGCACTGGCCGGCATGAGAGTGGAGCATCTGGAGCAGCTCACGCTCGTGCGATACTCGCCGGGGCAGTTTTTCAACCTTCATCACGATGGGCCGCATCGCCCGAAGACCGTGTTTGTGTACCTGACAGACTCGCCAGGCGAAGGAGAGACCTATTTTCCGCTGCTGGGCATCAAGTTTACCCCCCGGCGTGGCACAGCTGTGATGTGGAGGAATCCAGGTGGCAATTGGGGAAACTTTTTAATTTCCCTTATGGTTCCTAAAGAGGCACCTATTCATAAATACTTTTCAGAGCCCCAAAACTACAACCCAGGAATTCGATTCACAACGGAGAGGCTGATGACCGCCTGTACCACCAGGCACTACCGCCCGAAACTGTCACAAAAGTGGGCATGAACTGCTTCTTCAATGGGAAGCGTGTGAGGCCCTGAAGTCGCCTTATTGGAACAAGGAGGAGAGACCGGGATAGGAAGGATCAGCACTTCGGGCAGGAGCACATTTGATGGACCACCGCGATCAGATCAGGACGAAGTCCGGGAAGTTACAGTCCCGATCTTGAAGCGGCTACGTGTTGAAGACGGGCTCTCGGCTTGGTCCTCGGCAGGTCTCGGCAGTGGATGTTGGAGCTTTCCTGTCTGCTTACGATGCGAGAGCGCTGTGTCTGTGAGAGTGTCGACACCGCTCAGCTGCCCTGTGATGATGTAAATGCGAGCGTTCAGGACCGCTTGGGAGTTTCAAAAAACAAGGCGCCGCGAGAACCTGAATAGCAGGATCCTCATTTTCAGGCTAAGCTGAAGCACTCGAAACACCCGCACTTGAGGCCGCAAGAAAACATATCGACCGGTGAACACAAGACTAATTTCAAAGTCAGAATCGTCACCTAAACCTTCGATGGGGACGATTAGGAAGAGTTCCCCCTGGACTTACTGGTCCAAAGCTGGCTCTTGCAAAGTGCAGGCTTAGCGCTCCTGCGGCGCATGGCAGGCCATGCGAGTTGTTTGCCTGCGTTGAGGCTTGCAGGTTCATTGGACTGTTCTCATCTATCTTACTGTGGCACGCACAGTCAGTGCTTCACTCGTGGTTGTTTAGATAAGGGAGCTTCATGCACTCTCATCTTCTTGTGAGCAGTGGAAAACAGACCATGTTCCTGCAAGCTGCATACTGCTTTGGGTGGTTGTCAAAATTAGGATCCCTTTTTGGATCCCTAATATAATACGGCATCTAATATTTAGGGTACCCAAAAAGGGACCATAATTTTGACAACCACCCATGTGCCGAGTCTGAGCATGGCCTGCCACCCACAGACGGTCGCCCTGGCGCAACTCGGCTTGTGGTGGGAGTTAGGATTAAGGGGACCCTTGAGGATAAAGACCCTCTCAATAAGGTCCCTTTTCAGAGAGCCAGAAGTAGGGTTCAGAAGGGGTACCCTTTAAGGGGTCTCTCAAACAATACACCTATGTGGGAAACGGTCGTCGTCCTGCGTTCTGCGGTCGCAGTGGCTGACTGGAAGTCTTTCATGCCACTCATGCTGTTTTTGCTTGGCGGCAACTTTAAATCCTAAGCCTACACCCGAACCTTCTGAATCCAAAGCCCCAAACCCTAAACCCTAAGCCTCTAAATCCTAAACCCCACGCCCCAAACCCTAACCCTCCAAATCCTAAACCCCAAACCGCCCTAACCCTCTAAATCCTAAATCCTACACCCTAAACCCTAACCCTGTAAATCCTAAACCCTAAAGCTCAAAACCCTGGAGCTGAGGCCATTTCCAGCCTCGGCATGCAAAGTTGTCTCCCAAGCGGTTGAGGCCTGGAGCTTCTGGAGGATCATGGGACTTAGTAAGTAAGGTTATAAATACCCTAATTGGAGTGATAAGTATAGTTACCTTATTTATAACCCTAGTTACTAAGTCCCATGATCCTCTAAGCTGTGCAACATGTCCTAAAGCACGGCCTTGGAGGGACGTCCGACATGTCCGAGTGATACCCTACAGCGTTCCTTGCTGTTTCTCTAAGGGTTTCAACATAAGGGTTTAGATAACTATACCCTTTAGACTCCGTTTTTAGCTATAGTATATTCTGATGAAGATACCCTGCACTCTAAACCCAACGTGAGGCTGCCCAGCGGGTGTGCAGCCGCGGCCTCAGTCAGGTGCAGCGCTGCTGCAGCCTTTGGCGAGCACAGCTCCTTGACATCACCGCAGCCTAATGTATTTGGAGGATCATGGGGACTTTGTGACCAGGGTTATAGATAAGGTAGCTATAGGCGGAATGCTAGGTATCCACGTGGTGCTGTTGCTAGTATTGTCCAATGCCTTTGGAAGGAAGATGAAAAGCCGACGGTGGGATACCTGAACCTTTAGACCCTAAGCCCGAGACCCCAAATTTGAAATTTGGAAGTCTAAACCCTAAAGCTTACAGGGCCTCAATACCCCTAAACCTTAAACCCCAACATCCCTAAGCCCCAAACCTTGAACCTTCAACCCGCAAGGGACCCCTCAATACCCCAAAACCCTAAACCGTCTGAATGGACCCTTAATAACCTTCGGCACTGAACCCTGAATCCCAATCTCCCGCGAAAAATACACCAATATCCCTAAACCCTAAACCCTTAACCTTAAAGGGACCCATCACTACACCTAAACCTGACCTTCGCCCTGAATAACCTACATGTCAGGGTTCCTCATCATGATTTCCTTCTATAAGTCCTTAAACCCTAAACCCTAAAACTTAAACCCTAAGTGGGCAGGGAGTCAGCAGTGCGAAGGTCCCCATGCACCCTTAAACAAACTTAAACCCTACACCCTAAACCCTAAACCTTAAACCCTAAACCCTAAACCCTGAAGCCTAGAGCCTGGTGCCCTCAGGTCAGCCGCTGGCGATGTCCAGCTGTCAGGCCGAGCTCTCTGCTTCTGTTACTTGGAGGTTCATGGGTGGTTATAAGCGGGGTTATAAGAGGGATAACTATAGTTATAAACCATATTAGGGGACTTATAACCCTACTTATGACTACCCATGAACCTCCAAGTAGGGTTTTGGGTTCAAAGGTGTATAGGCTGTTTAGGATTGAGGGTGTGGGGTTCAAAGGTGTTTAAGGTTTAGGGTTTTGGGTGCTCAGGGTATTTAGGGTATTCGGGGCGTCTAGGGTTCAGATCAGTCGCGTGGCAGGTGCAGATGCCTGTGCGCCAGTCCTCGGGGGCATCCGTGAGCAAGGTGTGTCCGCACGTGTGGGGTTTAGGGTTTACTTGGAAGGGCAGGGGACTTAGTAAGTAGGTTATAAGTAGGGTTATAATTGGGGTAACTCTATTTAGGGTACTTATAACTCTACTTATAACCTGCTTACTAAGTCCCCTGCCCCTCCAAGTAGGGTTTAGGGTTCAGGGGATCAGAGTTCTGGCTGCTTCTGTGCCAAACATGCGCCAAGCCATCGCGTGACACATGGGTGGTTGTCAAAATTAGTGGTCCCTTTTTGGGTACCCTAAACATGATAAGGACCCGAAAAGGGACCTCTAATTTTGACAACCACCCACATGCAAGAACCGAAGACTTTGTCGTACTGGTAGTTGTCGCATTGACACACCTCTGTTGGCATCGGGATCGGCAGGTGCAACTGCCGATGCGCCAGTCCTCCAGCCCAGTGTCCGTGAGCAAGGTGCGTGCGCAAGCGCTAGTGGGCGGGCTTCTCCCGCGCTGTGAAACCGTGGCAAATGTATAGCAGCCTAGCGCCAAACCCTTTATCCCCAGAGACCCCAAACCCCCTTAATTAAGGAATATAACTACCTTTGATTCAGCTTAGGGATGCGATTCTAACCTAAGGTATACTCCCTAAATGCAGGTATTGGAGTCTCTTGGAAACCCTTAAACCCCTAAACCCTAAGCCCGTGAACAAACCCTAAACCCTCAAGCCTAAACCCGTTAAGCCCCAAAGGTAGGGGCGTAATAAAGACCCAACAAGGCCTGTTTAAGGAAGCATAGTCCCCTACCCGCCTAAGGGTCCCTATGACAAACCCTTATTCAAGCCTAAACCCTGAACCCTAAAGCAGCTTAGACCCCTTACACCCCAAACCCGTATTCAAGGCCTGAGCCGGAACCCCTAAACCCAAAATACTAAACCCTAAAGCCTAAGCCTGTTAAGCCCCAAACCCTTGTTCAACGAGGCAGGCTATCAGACGCCCGGAAGCGCCCGTGTCTCGACGATGGCCAGAGCCTCAGCTGAGGAACTTCGATATTATTAGTGCTGTTACTGTTGTGTGATTGTTCCTGGGGCTATTCCTAACACTATGATTATGATTATGGGGTGTTTGGGGGTTTGCAGGGCCGGGGGCCTCCTATCATAGAACCCTCAACCCTGGACAGATGGCAAAAGGCCCTCAAGCACAAACGACATGAAAAAACGCAAGCCTTAAACCCCATAGTGACACCAGGCGTCTTTTGCCCCGGAGAGCCTGGCACAGGCTTGGAGCAAGATGGGCTTGGGCCTGCGCTTGAAGGAATAGCCCTTAACTGCATTATCTCGTAAGGAACATTCCGTAGTTCATTAAAGCCCACTGTAGTCATTGCGCGTGGAATATTCCGCTATTTTGTTAAACTTTTTACTCCATATTGTAGTCATTCCTGCGTAGTAAATCGCTATAGTAAGGAGCCCTTATGGGTTCGCAGATTTTTCCTTAGACTACTGTACGTAGCAGAAACCCCCCACCCACAAACCCTAAACTCTAAACCCTAAACCCTGAACCCCTAAACCTCTGAACCCCTAAACCCCTAAACCCTAACCCCTAAATCCCTAAACCCCTAAACCCCTAAACCCCCAAACCCCAACCCCTAAACCCTAACCCCTAAATCCCTGAACCCTAAATCCCAAACCCCCCAACAGCCCGGCAGGTGAAGCAGCAGGAGCTGGATCAACTCCGGGAAGCTCTGCAGGCTCTGAGCCTTCGAATTGCAAATGGGGGTTTCCGAAAATTAGGGGTTCCTTTAAAGGGTACTATATATTAGGGATTCTACTATTTAGGGTGCTATATTAGGGTCCCCTGTTTTCGGAAACTCCCAACTGGGCAGTTCTCCGAGTTTGGGTCCCTTCTGCAGTTCCTTAAAGGGATTTAATACTTGGAGGATCATGGGACTTAACTAGGGTTATAAATACGGTAAGTCTACTTACCACTCCAATTAGGGTACTTATAACCTTACTTACTAAGTCCCATGATCCTCCAAGTAAAGGGATTAATAAGGGTTTCTATGAGCTTTCTATGAGGGTACTGAAGGGGCAGTTCTCCGGGTTAGGGTCTATTTTTAGAGTTCCTGAAAGGGATCTATAAGGGTTTGTTTCTACAAGCTTCCCAAAAGGGACCTCTTTCAAGGTCCTTTTTGGTAAGGGTGCCGTACTATTTATGGGACGAAAAGAGACCCTAATTCAGAGAACTACGGTTGAGGATATGAATCCTGCATTACCCATAATAAGGAATTTACCATAATTCCCATAGTTTGGGGTCCTTAATGCAGGGTTTATATCATCAACAGTACCCTTACAGTACCCTTATAGAATCCTAGACACCCTTCCGGATCCCGTTAAGGAACCCTGGAAAGGAACCTTCATGTGGGTGGTGGTCAAAATTATGATCCGTTTGGGTCCCTGTTATAATACGGCACCTATTATTTCGGGCACCCAAAAAGGGACCATAATTTTTGACAACTACACATGTAGAGAAAGTCCCAAACCGAGCTCCGGCAGAGACCTTGCGTCAGGCCTCCAGGGCCAACGAGGTCCGATTGCAAGCGGAGCTGCAGGCCGCTTTGCTTCAAAATATTTAGGGTTTAGGGTTTACTTTGCTTCAAAATACTATACTTTAGTGTCGAGGGTTTCGGCTTTCGGGGTTACTCTATTATGCTGTTTATATGTACTGTACGGTACTGGACTTACGTACTCTCGTATACAATGCTATGTTCCCCTTACCCGAAGCTCGAAGCCACGTCTGATGAACCGGCGGCCTCACTCCACTCCTCACCCTAAACCCTACTTAAAGGTTCATGGGACTTAACAAGTAATGTTATAAGTATCCTAATTGGAGTCATAAGTACTCATAAGTACAGTTACTTTATTCGTAACCCTAGTTACTAAGTCCCATGAATCTCCAAGTAAACCCTAAAGTCTTCGTTGAGGGCTCGACAACCCAGGAAAAGCTAGACGACTGGCACCGTGCATGCCGGCCCCTGGAGCACCTCCCACAGAGTGGTATCAAAGAGAAACCCGAAACCCGAGGGTTTGCTTGCACTCCTTTCGACAAGGGTTGCACCCCCCAACCCTTCACGAGTTGGAGCGGCATGTCCTCTTGACGAGGGCTGCACCTGCAACCCTTCACGATTTGGACCGACCCCCCAACCCTTCACGACTTGGGAATGGCTTCCCGAAAGGACAAGGATAGGACCCCCCCAACCCTTCACGATTTGGAATTCCAACCCTCCGCTAGGATTCCCAGAAGACTTTAGAACGAAACCCCAAAATGCTTGAACTCAGGGCGGTCTTGGGGTGGGCTGTTTGCTCAGTGAGCACCCAAGAGGTTTCCACACCCCAAAACCCTAAACTCGGAGGCCTCGCAAGGTGGGATGAAGGTAGGTGGGATTAAGGATCCCTTATATAAGGACTCTTATGTGGGAATATCCCACCTGCCTTCATCCTACCTTTCGAGGCTCCTGATAAACCCCTCACTGCATCAGGCAGCAAAGGAGCAGATCCAGCACTTGGCAGCAGCACTGGAGCAGGACACTGCGGCGCCGGTGCAGAAATGTAAGACGCAATATAGGGGCTTGAATAATTAGCTTACTATTTTGGGGGGTTCCTCATTAAAACTAGGTATAATGGCCCCGAAACCCTATTCTAATCATTAAGGCCCCTACATTAGATGTTTCGGGTGTGAGTCATCAGCTGTCCGAGGAGAAGTGTGCCCGTGCAGAGGCTGCACTGGCCACTCACACAAAGAAAGCTGAGGCAGCGCAGCTCCAAGCAAGCAAACAGAGAGCAGTGTCTTTTTGGCCGCTGTAGTGGGTTCTGCCGAGTCCCCTCGGAGCCCGAGAACTCCAAAAAGTCCACAGCGCGTGGCACGAGCGCCAGGACCCCAGCTCTGATATATGGGAGTTTCCGAAAATTAGGGGTACCTTATCTTGGGGTCCTTATAATAAGGATCCTACTATTTAGGGTACTATATTAGGGTCCCCTATTTTCGGAAGCTTCCATATGTGGAACAAAAAGAACGATACTGATCAGTCTGAATCATGTTCTGTTAATAGCTTCACCAGTCACAGCACAACACTGGTAAGAAGAAGAAGAAGAAGAACAACAACAGTAACAGTAACAGCAGCATCAACAGTAACAGCAACAACAGCAAGGACAACAGTAGTAAAGATGATAATACTAAGCAGCGTACTTATACTAGCAGTAGTGCTAGTAGTATCCAGCATCAGATCAGTACTAACAATAATGTGCATACTACTTTTCATAACGTTAATGGTTAAAATGGTAAGATTATTGGCAATACTGGCAATAGTAGGAATACTAGTAGAGACAGCAATGATAGTGAGACTTTTCGTGATAGTAACAATAGCAAGAACAGCATGGCAATAGCAACGATCATTCGATGCCCATAAGCATAATCAGCTTAGTCACAACCATAATCGTAGTAATGGGAAGATTGAAACCACAAAAATGCAATAACTAAAGGTCATATGCATAGTCATAGTCGCATTTAAAGTCATAGCACTAGCCAATAGCAAGTAGCACGTAGCAAATAGCAATAGCATTGGCAATGGCGATGGAAATAGCGATAGTGATAGCGATAGGCGATATCAGTTGCAATAGCAACAGCCACAGCAATCGTGCAGTAGTAGAACTACTGCTAGTGATGGTGTTCGTGATGGTGATAGTGATAGCGGTAGTGATGTAATAGTAGCAGCCATAGTCATAGCCATAGTCATGACCAGAACCATCATCAGAATCGTTTCGATGGTGGTAACAACATTACCAACAATACTAAGACTTCCCGGAGCGAGTACTCGTAAGCATGCAATAGGAATGATGACTACTAAAAGTTCGTGTGAAGAGACGAGCAACCCTGCATCGGCCGAGACCGTCATCTCCGCGCCGGGCGGCACGTGCCCGAAGGGGTTCAGGGTCGGATTGACACAGAGTGTTTAAGCCCTGTCCTCTTTCTCGCACGGCTTAGGAGAGCAGAGGGAAGGAACCGGCGGATGATCACCGCCGCGCTCCCCAGAATACGCAACAGGTACCATTGAATGAATGTGCAACCAAGAGGTGGTAGCCGAAGTGGTGGTGATGCGGCGCCTTCCGCCAGGACGCCAGACAGCAAGCTAGCATGCCAGCGAGAAGCTAGCTCTAGCACCTCGTAGCACGTCAAGATGCGTATGGTATGTGCTAGTTTCCCTTGCAGGCCGCTGGGCGAACGGCCACGAGTGACGAGAAGAGGTGCCAACGTGTGCGGGGGATGGCTGGGTCCAGGCAAGCGATCCTACTTGGAGGATCATGGGACTAAGTAAGTAAGGTTATAAGTACCCTAATTGGAGTTATAAGTATAGTTACCTCACGTACAACCCTAGTTACTAAGTCCCATGATCCTCCAAGTATTCCGCCCCATCAAATCCTTCCACAACCCTTCTTCGGCATTTCCTGGAGAGGTGTGCTGACCGAGACACCCCAAAACCTTTTAATTAAGGAGTATACCTTCAATCATATTAGGGATCCTAGTTTTATTTAGGCAGATTCCTCAATCCCCTTATCGAACCCTTAAAGATCCCTGTAAGAAGCCCTTAGAAAGCATATTCCTTAACTAAGGGGTGTTGGAGTCTCACGCAGTCTGTGGCTTTGCAGGCTCCTCCCCTGCAGCATTGCGGCGGCCAGCAAAGGATGAGGCAAGACATAGGTTTTGGGGTTTCGGGTTTAGGGTTTCGGGTTTAGGGGAAGTTTCCGAAAATTAGGGGTACCTTATTCCCACGCGGGTAGTTCTCTAAATCAGGGCCCCCTTTTCGGTTCCTTACAGGGGGTCTTACAGCGATCTATGTTTTTTTCTGCACTGCTGTATCAGGGAAGTTCTCTAAATCAAGGTCCCTTAAAGGGAGTCCTTAAAGGGATCTCTACGAATTTCTAGAAGGATATTATAAGGGCACTTCTCTACATCAGGGCCCCTTCTCAGGTCCCCAAAACAGAGATGACGGCATTGACGGCACCCTCACAAAAGGGTCCCTTAGTGAGAGCAGGGACCCCCAAAATAAGGTGCCCCAATGTTCGGAAACTCCCACATAGCGTGGACTGAACAGTGGACGCGAAGCTGCTATTCGGAGCATCTCGAAAAGTCGACCTACAAGGATCTACCCCTGGGGTTCGGTTCCCTTAAAGGAACCCTAACGGTACTCTAAACCCTAAACCCTAAGATCCGAGGGTTTAGGGTTTAGGTCAGGTATCTGTTGTCAGGTGGATACCAAGTTGACGGAGTACCTGGCATCATCGCCACACTGCCAGCTCGAGTTCTGCAGGCTGCGAGCGTTTCGTTTGAGCCCTTGAGGACACAGACACTCCAAAAGCCCTTGCCAAGATAGCTAAAGAATATATACCTTAAATCATATGGGTAGTTGTCAAAATTATGGCCCCTTTTTGGGTACCCCAAATATTAGGTGCCGTATTATAATAAGCATCCGAAAAGGGACCATAATTTTGACAACCACCCATATGAGGATTGTGTATACTCCTTTATTTAGGGTTTGGAGTCTCTGCGGACCCGGGCACTGTGTTCTCGTTCCTGCCATGCCCAGTGCTCGCTGCCAGGCTGAATCAGGGCTGGTCGCGCTGCCATGATTGCAGCTTCATGTTCGAAGAATGCCTAAAGGGTTTAGGGTTCAGGGTTTTTGGGAAGTTTGAAGGAACGCCTGTCGAAAACTTGGGATATTTCTGCCACAGCAGGTACCAGTTCCGGCACGTTGACACTGCCATGGAGACAAAGTGCCTGGAGGACCCTGAACCGTAAACCTTAAATCCTCACAGGTTGGGATCAGCGTGCGGCATCTGCGACAGATGCATGAAGTCTTAGACGTTTTTGCCTTCAATCAGGAACCCTGATAGTAAGCCAAAGAAACCCTTATAGGATGATTTTGATTCTCAAGACTAAACAAGCTACCTCAATAAAACTTACACCCTTCCTGGTTCCTATGAAACCTTCCTTTTCTAGTTATATGAGTCCTGAAAAAGGTAGTGTAATTGGGGTTAAAATAGAACCCTAAACCGCGCAGATGTCCATCGTGAACGGAAAGCTCATGGTCAAGTTCGAGCCCACGAATCACGATCGCGGATGGCCCGCGTCTCAGCACCGGAGGCTACACCTGTGCTCTCTTTCGAAGCAAGCTGGCCGCCATGGCTCACCAGTACACGACCAATACAATTAATACAACCCTAAACCCTAAACCCTAATTGCAAGTTGGCATTGACCTCTTTTTCAGCCCATCAGCTGGGAAGGGAGGGCTTGGGATCTCGGGTCGAGAGTTTAGTTAGTCTTGGATGGATTGTTTGCTCATGGCTGCAAGCTTCGCTACAGAAAGTCTCCACGAGTGCTCCAATGGAGCTTTGCCAACATCATGGTGGCGCTGACCTTTGACGATGGTGAGGAGTATGGGCTGGTAGCTCAGTTTTGCCGGCCGTTTCCGCAGCCAAAGCCCGTCAGCAGAGAAATAGTTCCTGATACGTTGCAGACACACAACCTCTCTTTGCATAGGAGACAGTGCTTGAAACAGAGCGAGAAACTCTGGCAAGAGGATGTTGCCTAGCCAAGGCCTGTGTTCCAGACACTCAATGCAGTCTCTTCGGTGTTGTCGATTGCGGGGTCGTTGCTGGCCACGGCCCGAGCTGTTACCATCAACCCTAAAATTAAAAAAAACTGGTAATCCTGGTGACATCTGGTGACCTAGTGTATTGTTTTCATTCTTTCGCAGGTCATCGGCGTCTTCATGGCGTTTCCTCAGTTGAGGCCATCTTGTGGACGTTTATGCGAGGCAGTTTAGTATGACGCCCGCTTTTTTCGTCAAGAGAACTGCGCGCGCACACACACACATGCAATTATTCATTCCCGCCATTACTGCCATTACTCTTCTCTCCCTCCGCCCTCCGCCCCGTCTCAGAGTGTCCATGTGGGAGTTTCCGAATATGGGGGACCCTAATATGGTACCCTAAATAGTAGGATCCTTATTATAAGGACCCCACAATAAGGTATCCCTATTTGTCGGAAACTCTAAACCCTGTTGAGCGGAGAAAGCGTCACTGCACTTAAAAAAAACCCTTTATAGAACCCCTATAGATCCCTTTAAAGGAACCCTTTAAAAGGGCCCTTTGAAGGTGCCCCTATGCTTCGGAAACTCCCATATGAAAGTATATTCCAGTCTACCCTAAACCCTAAACCCTAAATCCTAACCATATGAAAGCCAGTCGTCTCTAACTCTGACTCCGTCTAACCTAAACCTTAAACCCTAAAGTCAAGGTTTCCCATGGCTTTCGGATCTTCGCCTCGGGGAGGTTATAAGCACCCTAACTGGAGTTATAAGTAAATATAAGTATAGTTACTTTATATATAACCCCAATTACTAAGTCCCATGATCCTAAACCCTAAAGCCCTAAACCCTTCTGGCAGTCGCAAAAAGGCGTTCAAAAAAAAACCCTAAACCCTTACCTCGGGGAGGCGCTACTTTGCCCGCTTGGTGCTCTACCTGGCCATTAGCGACCTCTGGCTCTGCACGTCCTTCCTGATGGGCCGGGGGTCCGAGCGACAGCTTAGGGTTCCTTAAAGGGTTCCCTTTAGGATCCCTTAAAGGGATCTATAAGGGATCCTTAGGGGCTTAGGGTTTAGGGTTTAGGGTTCCTTAAAGGATCATGGGACTTAGGGTTCCTTAAAGGGTTATCGAAGGGGCTCCTTTTAAAGGGTTCTAGAGGGGATCTATAGGGGTTTAGGGTTTAGGGTCTACTTGGAGGATCATGGGACTTAGTAACTAGGGCAGGGTTGTAAATAAGGTAACTATACTTATAACCCCAATTAGGGTACCTGTAACCTTACTTACTAAGTCCCATGATCCTCCAAGTAGTACTCTAAACCCTGAACCCGATAGATCCCTATATAGAACCCTATAGCTCCCTTTAAAGAGCCCTTTAAGAACCCTTACTAAGTCCCATGATCCTCCAAGTAGGGGGATCCGCGAGATCTTCGTCCTCTTCTTGGTGTTGTGGCCCCAATACCAAAAGCTCTCAACCCTAAACTGTGATAACCCTGATGCCATCTCTCATGAAAAGCCCTTATCCCTAAACCCTAAACCCTATAGTGGTGAGGCGAGTTCCATCGGCCACACTACACCAAGTGCACGATCCAGGCCTTGTTGGGCTCTGCCCTCGGCTAGACTTTGGACGTCGGCAGTCTGCATCCTGTTGGAGTTTCCGCCGAGTACCCTTGCAGCACCCTTAAAGAATCCTCAGGGCTCATATTTTTGGGTGGTTGTCAAAATTAGGGTCCCTAATTGGGTACCCTCAATAACCCATAAAGGGACCCTAATTTTGACAACCACCCATATATCTAGTATAGGAGTGGCCTTGAAGACAACTTATAGTAGCCTTGTAGTACTCTGACGTACTTAAAGATTCATGGTACTTGGTAACAATGGCTTACTAAATGAGGCAACTATTCTTGTAACTTATGATAAACCACAGTTAAGGTACTTCAGGACTGCATTTACGAAGGCCCGTGAGCCTCCAACTACCCTTATGGCACCCTTATGGCACCCTATAGAGTCCCCATAGATCCGTAGATTCCCTTATGGTACCCCTGTAGTATCCTTACTATGATACCCTGAGCGTACTTGGAGGATCATGGGACTTAGTAAGTAAGGTTATATGCACCCTAGTTGGAGTTATAAGTATGGTTGCCTCACTTATAACTCTAGTTGCTAAGTCCCATGATCCTCCACGTAAACCCTAAACCCTTTAAAAGGAGCCCCTTCAAGAACCCCTTAAGGAACCCTTATAACCCTAAACCCTAAACCCTAAATCCCTAAATCCCTATAGATCCCCCATAGAACCCTTAAAGCAACCTGAGGCGTCTTCTTTGGTCTGTCGTCCATCCTTTGGACTGTGGCCATCGCAGACTCCGTCCGCCGTTGGAGCCTCAGCTTTTGGCCCCCAAGGGTCCTACAAGCGACAGCTTAGGGTTCCTTAAAGGGTTCCTTAAAGGGAGCTATAGGGTTCCTTAAAGGGATCTATAGGGTTTTGGCCCTAAGGATGCTACTTGGAGGGTCGGGGGACGTAGTAACTGGTTGTTTTAGGGACTTATAAGTACCATAACCCCAATTAGGGTCCCTTTTAGGGTACACTTTTGGCCCTAAGGGTCCTAGACTTGGAGGATCATGGGACTTACTGTTCCTTAAAGGGTTATTTAAAGGGCTCCTTTTGAAGGGTAGTTCTATAAGGGATCTGCAGGGATTTAGGGTTTAGGGTCTACTTGGAGGATCATGGGAAGTAAGTGAGGTTATAAATGAGGTAGCTATGCGTATATCTCCAATCAAGGTACTTATAACCCTAGTTACTAAGTCCCATGATTCTCCAAGTAAGGGTTACTACAAGGGTTTAAGGTTTTAGGGTTTCGGGGAGGGCCCTGTAAAGGTCACTACAAGGGTTTAGGGGATGGTTTAGGGGCTTAGGGCTTAGGGTTGTTACTACAAGGGATACTATCACGGTGCCAGAAGGAATCCTATAAGGGTCAGTATAAAGAACACTGCAATGGTCGGAAAAGGGTTCTAAAAGGAATACTGTGAGGGTTCCACAAGGGTTCTTGGAGAGTCGGGGGACTTAGTAAGTAGGTGGTAAGTAGACTTATAAGTACCCTAAAAGGGACCCTAATTGGGGTTATGGTACTTGTAAGTCCTTAAAATAACCAGTTACTAAGTCCCCTGACCCTCCAAGTTTCTACTTGGAACATCGCAGAAGCGAAGCCCTAAACCTCATCCCTAAACCCTAAATCCCCTGTGTAAACCCTAAACTCTGGGCCCTAAATCTTTCCCTAAACCCTAAACCCTAAATCCTAAACCACGAAACCCTAAACCCAAACCCTCGGGAGAGCTTTCTCGAGGCATCGTCATGGCCCGTGACTTGACCGTGGAGAGTCGGCCACTTGTTCTGCATGGCCATACGGTTGATGATTTGCATCCTGCATCACCTTACAGTAGAAGCCGGAAAGTTGGAACATGGCTTTAGGAGGATTAGTGCTAGGATCCCTTCTACTTTACCTTAAGGGCATGAGGATAATGATGTTCCAACTTTCTGGCTTCTACTGTAATGGCCCTAGACTATGGGAACTATGGTCTATTCCTTATTGTGGGTATTGCAGGATTTATATCATCAACCATAGCACCCTTATCGTAGCCTTCTATTAGGGCGGGTTTGTGGCTTAGCGATCGTGACCTTATTGTAGCTAAACAATTGTAGTAACCCAGTGCCCGTATAGTTCCCGTATCGCACCTTTCAAGGATCCTCATAGTTTAGGGTTTAGGGTTTAGGATCCTTACAGTAACCTTAACGTAACCCGTTTCGAAACCTCATAGTACCCTCATCGACCATTTGCTTCTCACCGTAAGCGCGGCCGCTCTCTGCTATTTAAGGCGAAGTACGCTTCTGCCCTGCCTTTGCATACGTGTTGAGGCACGAAAAGCGGCTTCACATCGTGGGCTGGGGCTCGCTCCTTACATCCGTCGGGTCAGAAAGCAGGGGTTGTGTAAACCCTAAACTCTACAGCCTAAACGGTAAAAACTCTGAACCCTAAAGCCGAGTGGAGACAGGGAGTCAGCATGTGAAACGCAGAGACACAAATGGATAGTGAGATAGGGAGAGAGGATGGGAGTCTGGCATCCTTAAGCCTTACAAAGCCCTTAAAGTAGCCCTTTTCGTAACCTTGAACGGAACTCTAGACCCTCAAAGAACTCCTGCAGAACCCCCGCACTTCTCCTAGGCCTTCCGCTCCTGTCCTTGCTGGCTGTCCTTGGCTCTGGCTCTGCGGCGCCCAGTGGTGCTCTCCCCAAGAAATCCGCGGGTCTTTCCCCACACGTGTATATGTATATACACAGTATGTATATATATATATATATGTATATGTCGTACATAAGCATACGTATACTGCTGTTACATCGTACATATCTAGGTATGTGGGTGTGCGCGCGCGCGCGTGTGTGTGTGTGTGTGTGTGTGTGTTGTCTTTCGTTCATGCCTTTCTCCGGGCTTCCGAGGCATGGTGTGCTGGTGCGGATCTCGGCGCCTTCTTTTCCTGTTCTTTCCGAGCTTCGAAGTCCCTAGTATCGGGGCCTAAGTACTGACCAATACTATTCTCGGGGTTCCTTGTTAGAATATATCATATACACGCGAACCCGATTCTGATTATTAAGGCTCCTACTTGGAGGATCATGGGACTTAGTAAGTAAGGTTATAAGTACCCTAATTGGAGTTATAAGTATAGTTACCTGATTTATAACCCCAGTTACTAAGTCCCATGATCCTCCAAGTAGACCCTAAACCCTAAACCCCTGTAGATCCCTTATAGATCCCTTTAAACGGAGCCCCTAAACCCTATGATTAAGGGCTACAGAAGGTGGAACCCTTTAAAAGGAGCCCCTTGAATAACCCTTTAATGATCCTCCAAAGTATATTACACCCTAAGCGACTGTCGCGTTTTGAGGATCGAGAACACGACGCTGGGCACCATACTCCGTAAAGCTGGCATGGTTGGGTTTTCTTAGGGGTAGTTAGAAATAGTTTTTAAGTTTTGGTTATTATAATCCCCAAGAAACAGCTAAAACTATAATTCTTGCTAGGGTTCTACGTCCAGTATAGTTTTGACAGCTCCCGAGAGGGCTTTTTGTTTAGGGCTCAGGGTACAAGGGCTACAACAACGGTTCCTAGAAGGCTGAGTGGGTTCTATAAGGGTTACTTTAAGGGTTCCGAAATGGGGTCCGACACAGGTTTCGAGATTATGGAAACGCTATGAAAGGGTGTCCTAATATAAGGGATGCTATGATACTATAAGAGTTGTTATCGCGAGGCTTCCTGTGCGACTCCTGCCAGCGTCCCTGCCATCATGCCAAGAATGGTTCTTGTAACCGTAGATTAGCTGTGGCAGCACTGGGCGAAGCAGCCACAAAATCCATTGCGTGTGCCAGGGTTCACAACGTTCTATCTGCCGCTGTGGCTGGCCATCGCTTACTCGTTGTGGGCTTCCTCCTCAGCACAGTTTCGGGAACTCCTTGCCCCGAACCCCAAACCCTACTGTAAGCCATGTAAGCCCCCAAGGCTTGAAGCCCAAAGCCCTATATATAAGCCGTATCAGCACTACAAAAAACTTTCAAGACTAGACCGAACAACAGCATAAACAACTCGAAGCCATAAAGCCTCAAGCCTAAATCCTTGACCCCTCTAAACCCTCAGACCTATGAGCCTAAGCCCCAAGACACCCTAAATCCCAACCCTACACCTTACACCCTTGCTAGTAGCCCTTAATCCTCAACAGAAGCCCTTATCGTAGCCATTACTAGTAGCCCTAAGCCCTACACGCTGCACCGTAAACCCGAAACCCCCAAACCTGTCTACCCCCAAACACCTAAACCTTAAACCCTAAAGCCCTAAACCCCGGCAATCGTGTGAGGTTTATTGGTGCGTGTCCCAGCGCCTGCGGAAATTGCTGGAGCAGGTTTCAGTCAGTCGCTCGAGCCCGCATTTGACACGTTTGTTATTCCTACATGACAAGTACAAGAATACTTATAGGTTTTAGGGCTTGGGGTTAGGGGTTAGGGTCGGGGTTTAGGGTTTAAGGTTAGGATTTGGGGTTTAGGGCTTAGCTGAACACAGCCGCGGGCCATGCCAAGGTAACGCGGATGACTACGAAGGAAATGCTTTTGACTATCAGAAGGACCTGTCCCAAGAGCAACGTCTGGCTCTGCATCTGCAATCCCCCTAAACCCTAAACCTCTAAATCCCGTTTGGCAGTCGGAGTTGATTCTCTGAGGTTTCCATCCGACATGTATTCGGTATCCCAGAACCCACCAAAAGCTCTAGACCGCAAGACAAGAACACAGAATTCAGGGTTTAGGGCCACGCCCTGAGCCCGTCTTTTTCTGGCAGGACATCGATCGTCAGAGGAGATCTTTACGATTGATGACGCCTGGCTCACATCGTAATCTAGCTGGATCGCGATGATCAGGGGCTTCGGAAGGTGGGATGAAGGCAGGGAAGGATTAAGGATCCCTTATATCAGGGCTCTTAACTGGGGATCACCCCACCTACCTTCACCGCCCACCTTTAGAGCCCTTTGAGATCAGAGAGAAGAGTTGGCAGTACGTACTTGGAGGGTCGGGGGACTTAGTAAGTAGGTGGTAAGTAGACTTATAAGTACCCTAAAATGGACCCTAATTGGGGTTATGGTACTTATAAGTCCTTAAAATGACCAGTTGCTAAGTCCCCCGACCCTCCAAGTAGCCAATGAGACGGTTTGGCCTGTCGGCGTGTTAGGGCTTAGAGACTGCGCAGCAGTTCCCAGAAGGCTTGCACACTAAACCCAAAGTTCCTACCAAAGGGATGTGATGACCCTAAGCCCTAAATAACAAGCCCCTAATTAAGGATGCAGGCCCGAAGCCCTAAACGCCAATCCCGAAATTCAAAACCCTAAACCCTCAACCCGAAACCCTAAGCCTTAAATCCCTTGAATCGAGGATCGAAGTCCAAAGCCCCCAAAAAGGCCAAGCCCTGGACTCGGGATGTAAGCCCGAAGCCCTGAACCCCAAGCGGCTAGACTGCGGATGTAAAGCCGAAGCCCTAAACCCAAGCCCACATGCAGACGGCAAAGAGCGCTTCAAAAACCCGAACCCAGAGAGCTCAATACCCCTTAATTAAGGAATATACCTTAAATCATGAGGGGATTCATATTATGATTTAAGCCATCTTCCTTAATTAAGGGGTTTTCGAGGCTCTCTGGGAAGCTCCCGGACCGAGGATGTACCTCCCTCTGATCCTGGTCTTTTGCTGGTCGCCAAGCTCCGTGCGGCGCTTGCTGGACATCTTGTTCCCGCACATGGGCCGGTCCTTGTTGGACTACGTGTGCGGGCCCCGAGAAAGCAGAAACCAAGAGAGTCCAGCTTTCAGGGTTTAGGGTTTTGAGTCAAGAACCATTCCGCAAGTAGAGGCTATTGCAGGATCTCTGGACAGGTGGTTCGGTGCCCTCGAACATTTCTCTCTTTTCCTGCATGTTTGAGGTGTGTCTTCGCTGGACCACTGCAAGGCTTCTTAAATGCCCTCGTGCCGCGGCCGCAAATCACGAGAGACGACAAAGCCCTGCTTTTCCAGTCCGCTGCCACAGACGATTCTCATCATTTGAGATCTAGACCTGCGAGGAGTACTGACCCTGAGATATTGAGAACCTCCCTGGAAAGATCGCCCCAAACCCCAAGCCCTGCCTTAACCCTGAAGAACCCAGCTTTTTAGGGTTCCTTATTATGATTTCTTTATATGAGTCCTTAAAAGGTAGGTTATTCCGGGTTGAGGTAAACCCTAAACCCTCAGCCCCAAACCGAGACGTGAGGTTTATGGCGCCACGCCTGCTGTCCGGGATGCCATGACAGGCCAAAGCCATCGAGACTGAGGGATCTGTAAACTCCAAACCCAAAACCTTACGAGAGTCTAGTAACTTTAAGAGTTTCTTAGCGGGTTCCTTAAAGGGGATCTATTTATGAGGGATCGATAGGATTCAGGGTGTAGGGCCTACTTGGTTCATGGGACTTAGCAAGTGGAGTTGCAGGTACCTTAACACGGGTTACACGTATAAGTAAGTATAAGTATAGTGACCTTTTGTTATAAACCCCTTTAAGTAAACCCCCAAACGCAACGGAAAGAGAGGTGAGAGTGGGAAGCTCGAATCGAGGGAACGAAGACGCAGGAACTTTCTACTCCGGGGGGTCCGCGGCGAGGGGTAAGGGTTCAGGGCCTAGAATCCAGAGTCTAGGCCTAGGGTTTAGGGAGTTTAGGGTCATGGTTGCAGGGCCTTGGGTTTAGGGACACTTCTTGAGCAGACTTCATGCAGCCTCGGAGAGAGGAACACGAAGCGAGCTGTTGCCAAACCCTAAACCCTAAACAAACCCGGACCCCCACATCCGAAATCCCAAACCTTAAATAAACTCCTAATTCCTACACCCTCACTCCCACATCCGAAACCCCAAACCTTCAAGTCCTCATTCCTAAACGCCAAAGTCCTATTTCCGAAACCCTAAACCGCTTAAGTTTAGTTCCCGAACCCCGCCCGGACCTAAACCCGAAACTCTAAGAAACCGTAAACCCTAAACCCGACCCCTTAACCCTAAACTCTAAGAAACCGTAAACCCTAAACCCGAACCCTAAACCCTGAACCCTAACAAACCCTAAGAAACCCTAAACCCGAACCCTAAACCCTGAACCCTAAGAAACCCTAAACCCTGAACCCGAACCCTAAACCCTGAACCCTAAGAAACCCTAAGACCGCGCTGGAGCGAGGCCGCTTGGACAACAGCGCAGCGAAGCTCAAAAACATCAAGGCCTGCTCCTCTGCCCAGATCTGCCAAAACCCCTTAAATAAAGAATATACCCGAAATCCCCAGTACTCCTTAATTAAAGAATATACCCGCAATCATATTCGGGATCCCTAGTATGATTTAAGGTATACTCCTGTTTTGCAGTGTCTGGATGGTTTAGGGTTTAGGGCGAGGGTTCTACACGTCGATTATTAAGGCCCCCATATTATAGTACCCTCATAGATCCCTTATAGTAACCCTTATAGATCCCTTATAGTACCCTTATAGTTCCCTTATAGTAACCCTTATAGACCCCTTTATAAGGCCCCTTCCATTCCCTACTAGGTTTCCTACAGACGAAGCCTGGGAAGGCGCCCTTGAAGGAGACCCCTAAAGGCTATAGCCATTTTGGCTCAAGCCACTTCCAGTCAGTCTGAGCGGCACAGACTCTCCTTTAACCCTTTCTTTCAAAGCTTTGAGCTTCTCTGTTGAAGGATGGCTGTCGCACCCTTTGACTACACGGCAAGGAACACGGAGATCACAAATTATTTCGCCACAGACACCCAGACAACGGCCGCTCTGAATGGAATCAGGTCAGTCTCTGGGACAGTGGTGACAAACGTCGCCGCTTTTGTGGTTGAAAAGTCAAAGGAGGTTTCCACCCAGGCCCTCAACCTGCCTGCTGTGATGAAGCAAGTGATCCTCTTCCTCAATGGGCTGTTTGGGTTGGTGGACCCAACAACGAACACGCTTCCTGATGACGGGCCGAATGCTGAAACGGTATTGGGACTCGTAGCATTGTTCGGTCCGATCACAAACAAAGGCTACGTCGCTGGTACATTGCAAATCAAGTACAAGACAAAGAGATTCTCTAGCCAAGCAGCTGTCAATGCCTTGAAGTCTTTCTTCGGGGAGCCGAATACTGCAGGTGGAACGACCCCATTGCAGAGTCTCGACGTCTCAGACTTGATTGCCCCTCAGATAGCACTTTTGTGCTTGTTCCTTCAGGGAGGTCAGACTCTCGACCAAGCAAGGACATCAAACTGTCTGGTGGCAGATACCATCCTCTCCCAAGTTTCTGAAGAGGACATCGAAGGGTTCCGGAAAAGTTTGAGAAATGAAACGGTTCTCGAGAGCGCTGTCCGAAAGAACCTTGAGAACAGGCAGAAGATCATCCGAGCTGCGTTTGTGGCGACGCTTGCCATACTCGATTGTGACCCAGCATTGCCGGCATTCCTTGATGACATCAGGAAGTCACCTGCACTCTTCTAAGTGTACCGGATCAGGTGGAAACTGACTCACACTGATGACGGTGTAGCCACAGATGCAAGGTATGCCAGAGAACGGCGGGAACGAGACAAACTATCGCGGTCCCGATCACCTCACTTTCGAGGGCGCGAACGTTGGAGACGCCCTCCCGCTTCTCACGACCAGGACACGACCTCCCTATTTCAGAGGCCAGAAGGATGGCAACAGAGGTGGGAAAGGTTGATGGAGACGTTGTGGACATGGTTTGACGAGGGCAGAGCAGTGGGGATGGCCATCTGCATGCTGAGAAGCAGGGTGCAGGACCGAGGGGACGCATCCTTTGCGGAATGGGTCCACACTCCCATCACCACCCTCGCAGCAGGTCTTCCCAATAGCGATGGTTTGGATCCGTCACACCATCCTCAGGTTTTCTTCCAGTGGTCGGTGGAAGTTGAGGAATACCTGTTTGGGGTTTATCAAGGAGAGCGAGACGCCCCTCCGGAAGAAGCAGAAGAAGGAGAGGCTGCTACGTCATCGGTGGCCCCTCCCAGCGGGGACTCAGTGAGTCTCATGGGCGACCGCTACCAGTACGGCAGAAGGAGAATCCGTGATTCCAGAACACCCAGGCGAGCCCGAAACTCAGATCGAGCTTGCCCGGCATCTCCTGGGGCGGCTCGACCAGGGAGACGCAGCAATGCTACTGGCTCAGCACGAGACCGCAGAGAACCTCGCCCGACCGCGGGCGCACGACCACGAAGGGAGGCAGCTCGTGAGCCAGCTTCTGGTTCCAGGGATCCACCGCCTGCAAGTCTGGTACTGACACCTGTGCTGCCAGGGTTGCCTAACTTGGTTGACCCGATGTCGACAACTCAGGCCGTGCACCTTTGGCACTACCTTCTCTTCGACCGCACTCGCTTTGGGCCCCAGCTCAAGGGCAACTCAAGGGTCCCGGAGAGCTTTCTCCCCCGCCATCTCCTACGTGAAGTCAGCTCCACCCACGAGCAGATGTCGGAGTACAATCGTATGATTTCGACCTGTGCATTGTTCACGGTGCTCCGCTACCTCATGAGTGAACTGGCACAGACATTGGATACGGCACAAGCGGTAGCTCGGTCGGCTCAGCAGGGTCAAGGGGACACGGTGGATGTGGAGGTTGAAGATGACGACCACCTGTTGATGCAGTCCTACATGCTCACTGACGGGAAGGGTACGGTGGAACAGCGGTGGACTCGCGCCATCAACCGGCTTCACAAAACTGCTACAGCAACAACGAGGAGTTCGTCTTCTACATCTACGGATGCTTCGAATGGGGATGCCACGCGATATGGCTGAAGATGGGGCTCGGGAATGGTTCGATCAGCTGGAGGCGCTCTTTGTGGCGATTGAGTCGGATCTGCAGGGAGATGTGGCTCAGGCTGAGACGATCGACGTGGAGTGGCTACGGCAATGGGTGAATGAGTTCTCCGCCTTTATTCCAGGGTTCACGGTGCAGACACAGGTGGAGTCACAAACGACAGCTGCAGATGCGATGGAAGCCGACCTCGCGCGGCTTGTGGCTGATGAGGAAAGTGAAAGGGAGTGGCAGGAACAACGAGCACGAGAAGAAGCCGAGGAACGAGACCGACTCGCACAGCATGAATGCAGGTCTCTCCAGCAGGATGCCGAAGCGTACCGCCAGTGGGAGATGGAACAAGTTCGGGGAGCTATGGTGAGATCGGCAGAAGGACCCAGCAAAAGACGTTGTGTTCTCACCATGGAGGCCGCTTCCGGTTCCATGGACAAGCCGCGAGTGGTACACACAATGGCCCTGGATGTCCCCACCTCGGGCGAGGCTGTCACCTTGACGATCACGGCTCGAATGGAACCGGACCCTGAAGATGTGTCCACTCAACCAGTGGCAGCACCTGCCGAGGAACGGCCAGAGCAGGCACCCATTGACCTCTCACCGACATTGTCTCTGCCGGCAGATAAGACTACTGAGGATCCAGAGGGGACTACAAATGGGGAGATGCCGGAGTTGGAGTTCCAGGAGTACCAGCATGTTTACCAAGAATGGCGAACAGGCAAGTTGGGGCTGGAGGAGGTCACCGAGAAATATGGGTCGGCAGTGGCAGAGCTGGTGCAGGCACAGTTTGCGGCACAGGCGGAAGATGACTCGATCGCTGCCATTGCAGGTATGCCTGAAGCCTGCACGTCACCGTTCCCTCCATATGACGGGCGAGAGCCATCGGCTATGGTGGATCCAGACGGACCACTCCCACCCTTCAGCTTCTTTGAATCGATGTACGGTCAATGGAAGCAGGGTCTCCGTACAAGTGCCAACATAGAAGCCAGCTTTGGGCCACAATGGCTGACCCTCTTTGAAAGATGGAGGAAATGTGGATTGGACTCTATCTACCCCATTTTGCCCAACATCTTGGACATGAGTCGAGAGGCGAGTGGGACGGGGATGTCGGTTTCCACAGGGTCTTCCAGGAGGACGGCGATGAGGATTCCGTTCAGTGTAGTTCGGCAAGTCTACCACCGCTGGCAGAGAGACCTTATGAGGGACAGCACAGTCCAAACAATCTATGGAGCGGAGTGGCTGCGGCTTTTCCAATCGCTACGAACAGAGGGACTGGCAGCAGTATGGCATCAGATGAACGACAAGGTTGAGTGGGATGTGGATGACCTGTTGGCTCTTACACCGCCGGAAGATAGTCTGGAGGACGTGGTCACGGTCCAGGGATCTGGGGTCGAGCAAGGTGTGCCTCCGTTGCCAGCAGAAGCAGAAGCAACCTGTATGGATGACACAGTTGGTGAGGGTGCGGAGTTCGATGGCAAGTGCAACTGAGGGTTCGTGGAGATGTGTCGGCTAATTTGCCTTCCGCAATGCAGATTCCAGACTCCTATTTAGGCAGACGGAAAAAGGCGTTCAAAAAAAAAAACCTTCAAAGGGGGAAAGGAGGGACCCTTAATGGGGACCCCTACCCCATAATGGGCTATATAATGGGTATATAATAGCTATATTAAGGGTATATACCTACTTGGAGGGTCGGGGGACTTAGTAACTGGTTATTTTAGGGACTTATAGGTACCATAACTCCAATTAGGGTCCCCTTTAGGGCACTTATAAGTCTACTTACTACCTACTTACTGAGTGCCCCGACCCTCCAAGTACAGGAAACCTCGAACGGGACCCTTAAGGGGTTTCTAGAAGGATCCCTGCAAGGGGTCCTGTAAGTGATGTTTGGGTGCTCGTTTGATATGGGTGGTTGTCAAAATCAGGGTCCTTTTTTGGGTACCCTAAATTAGTTGGTGCCGTATTATAATAGGGACCCCAAAAGGGACCACAATTTTGACAACCACCCATATGGAAGTTCGAAGCTTCTACACTGTTGTTTAAGGTTTAGGGTTTAGGGTTTTCGATACAGGTTCTGATGGGTTTTAGTAATCACTTCCCCCATTTGTTAAACATCCTCCCAATAGTAAAATCACTTTGGGGCCAATCTTCCCGAAATGACACCTGCCCTTGAAAACCTAATTTTCATTACGGGGGTCCAGAGCAAGAGCAAAGGCAAGAGCAGGAGCAAGAGCAAAGGCAAGAGCGAGAGCTGGAGCAAAAGCAAAGGCAAGATCAAGAGTAGGAGCAAAAAGCAGGAGGAAGAGCAGGAGCATCTTCAAGCCGAAGAGACGCAGCAGGAGCAGGAGCAAAAGCCCCGCAGGAGCAAGAGCAAAAGCCCTCAAAAGCGACAGTAGAGATAAAACTACCCGCTAACAATAACAGTGCTTTCCGAGTTTTTATTGTCGGCCCCCCTGTTTAACATTATGGGGAAGGGAAGAGCCTTGATACAGTCTCAGACTACTTGGAGGATCATGGGACGTAGTAACTGGGGTTATAAATAAGGTAACTATACTTATAACTCCAATTAGGGTACTTATAACCTTACTTACTAAGTCCCATGATCTTCCAAGTAGTTCATTAGTCGTTGCTTTTCCTTTGCTGTAGTCCTTTCTCGCTTTTTACTTGTGCTGCTGGTTGTTCTTTTTTCGCGCCGTTGCTTGTTGTTGCTCTTCCCTTTCAGTACCATGTGCCGTCTGTCTCGTTGCTTTACTTTTTCCGTGCGGCTTCCTACCTGGTTCGCATCCCCGTCTCGCTTTTGACTTTGAGGATTCGGACTCGGGGTGTAGGGTTTCCGCAACCTGCGCGCGCGCCCACTTCTTGCTTTTTGCCGCTTGCTCGTCGTGGTCCTTACTTCTTACGGTCCATCCAGGAACAAGAGCCCCTGAACTCCAAGCCCCAAACCCTGAACCCAACCGTGGCAACGAGAAAGAGAGGTTCGAAGTGCCCGTTCTTTTGCCGTCAACCCGAAACCTTAAAAGGGCGAGACCCTAAGCCCGAAACCGTAAACCCGAAATCCTAAACCCTAAGGCTGAAACCCTAAACTCTAAATCCTTAACAGCCCAAAACCTGAACTCCTACATCCTACTCTAATAACCCCGAGTAACCTTCCTTTTTGGAGACTTATATAAAGAAATCATCTTAGGGAACCCTAAAAAGGTAGGTTCCTTAGGGCCCAGGTAAGCCCTACCAGTCCGAAACCCTCAACCCTACATCCCAGTGTCCTGCTGCAGAGCAGACACCCACGAGTTGTCAATTGCCAGGAGCTTGCCGCCAAAGAAGATCCTGCAAAGTGGAACCCTAAACCCTCAAAGATCCAAAACCCTTAAGCCTAAGACCCATCCTCATAGTCGCCTCATAGCAACCTCATAGATCTCTTCTAGAAGACCCTTACAGCACCCTTTTTTAGCACCCGCGTGGCACCCTTTCAGTCCCCTAACACCCTAAACCTTAAATTAATACCCTAAACCCTATATGGTGGTTTCCAAAAATAGGGGACCCTAATTTCGTACCCTAGATAGTAGGATCCTCATTGTAAGGACTCCAAAATAAGGTACCCCTCCGTTTCGGAAGCTCCCATACCCTGAGACTCCAACACCCCTTTGATTAAGCAGTATACCTTAAGTTATAATAGGACCCCAATATGATTTCAGGTATATTCCTTAATTAAGGGGGTTTTGGAGTCTCTGGGTAGGTCCTTTTCCCTTATTGGGCTTCATTATAAGGGGGTTTCTATGGGATATCCCTATCCCCATTTTTGCTCATGTGCTTTTTTTTTGTGGCCCATGATTTAAGGTATATTCCTTATAGAACCGTTATAGATCTATTTCAAGATCCCTCTAAGGAACCCTTTAAGGAACCCTAGGTTTAAGGTACATTGGAGTCTCTGGTCTGGGTACATCCTTTATGATTTAAGGTATATTCCTTAATCCCCTTGCAGAGCCCGCTATAGATCCTTTTAAGGAGCCCTTTCAGGAACCGTAGGTTTAAGGTATACTCCTTTTGTTAGGGAGTTTTGGAGTCTGTGGGTAGATCCTTTTTCAGTTGGGTCCAGGCCAAGCTTCGGTCTCTGCGCCCCGGCAGACGGCGGGACTTCCGGCACCTGTCCGAGGCTCCAACTGCCCCCTTAGTGAAGGAATATGCCCTTTAAGGGCTCCTTAAATATACCCTTTAAGGGTTCCTTAAAGGGATATATAAGGGTTCTATAACCCTAAACCCTAAACCCTAAACCCTAAACCCTAAGGGTTCCTTAAAGGGATATATAAGGGTTCTATAACCCTAAACCCTATATCCTTAGGGTTCCTTAAAGGGATATATAAGGGTTCTATAACCCTAAACCCTAAATCCTTATAAGGGACTTCAGGCTTCCTTGAAGGGATCTATAAGGGTTCTAGAAGGGAACTAGGGAACATGCTTGAAAATATCATTGGATCTCTTCTCTGGTAAGCTTCCTTAGGCGTTCTAAAAGCGAGTTGAGGTTAAGGGTTTAGGGTTTAGGGTAGGGTCTCTAACATGGTTTAAGGCATATTTCTTATTGAAGGGGTTTTGGAAGATCTGCGGAACCGACCCCAGGTAGTATTGGGTGACAACTGTAAATGAGGATAGCTGTAGGGGAAATAGGGGGTAGTCCGGTTTTTCTAGGGTTATTGTGTTTTCATGGGAAGCTATGGTAATACACGTAGCCTTTTTTTGCCCTGAAGGGTCCGGTCAGTAACCGCATGAAACCTCATAGTACCCTAAGCCATAAGCCCTGAACCTAAGCCCCCTGAATCCAGGTCCTTAACCTAAGCCCTGAGCCCGAACTCTAAACCCTAAACCTAATCACTATTTGGAGGATCATGGGACGTACTAACGGGTGTAATTAATATGGTGACTGTTCTTTATAATCACTTATGACCCCATTCTAAACCCTAAGCCGAAACCATAAACCCTAACCCCTGAACCCTAAGCCCCTACCTCGGGGGTATGGTGTGGGCTACTCCTACCACTACGTTGCTGTCGGTGTCTACTACCTTTGTTTGCGCTGAAGAAGAAAGTTGAGGGAGATGAAGAGTGGGGTAGGGGTACCTTATTTTGAGGTCCTTATAGTAAGGATCCTATTATTTTGGGTACCATATTAGGGTCCCCTGTTTTTGGAAACTCCCATATGGAAGAGTGGGGTGTCTGGTGCTGCCGTGGAGATGGTGGAGGCTCTACGTGGATGTAGTCGGGAGCCGACGGACCCTAAACCCTAAACCCTAAACCCTTAAAATAAATCAAAAGAACCTAAGCCCTAGGCCATCAACCCTAAACCTAAGCCCTAGATCCCCCTCGAAAACCCCCTTAATTAAGGAATATATACCTTAAATCATATTAGGGATCCTGTTTTAGCTTAAGGTATATTCCTTAATTAAGGGGTTTTGGAGGATCTGAAAACCCTAAACCCTAACCCCTAAACCCCTAAAGCCCTAGACCATAAGCCCTAGACCCCCCTGTAGCGTTCCTCAGTGGATCCTGTTTTGGTTTAAGGTATATTCCTTCCTTAAGGGGTGTTGGAGGCTCTGAAAACCGTAGACCCCTTTAATTTGTGCCCCAAACCCCGAAGCCCTACCATTATAGATCCTTTATAGTAGCCCTTATAGACTCCTTCTAAAGGAACCCTATTCTTTTAGCGGGTGTTCCTCAGTGGATCATGACCCTCCAAGTACCTTCAACCCTAAACCCTCAGCCGAAACCCTCAACCCTAACCCTTAAAACCCTAAACCCCTAAAGCCCTAGACCATAAACCCTACACGCCCCTATAGAGTTCCTCAGTGGATCCAGGCCAGCCCTGGCGAGAGCTCAGAGTCGAGGAATGGCCCTGGACCCACACAGCTCCTTCGACGCCAAAGTTGGGTTTGGGGTTTAGGGTTTAGGGCTTAGGGTTTTAGGTTTAGGGTTTTGGGTTGAGGGTGTAGTACTTGGGCTTAAGTAACTACCAGTACTATGCCTGGGGCTCCTTTTCATATTTATGGTATATATAAGTAATTACCAGTACTATGTCTGGGGCTCCGTATCATATTTATAGTATTTGTATAATGGATCCCCAAACAGTATTAGATGCCACAAAGCACAAAACTAGGGTCTAGGGTGCCATAAGGATACTATGAGGGATCTATAACGCAGCAATAAGGGATCTATAAAAATGTGGGGTGTAAATATTTGATGAGGTCGCCGAGCGTGCGTCATGTACGTCCTCCACCATTTCGGGGGGCGCGGGGAGATGGGGGTTGGAGGGGGGGCGGTGGTGGGGGTTAGTGATGACGACACAGCTACGTGCACTCCACCGTGCTGGGTATTTACAGTACTTTCGTGATGTGGTCTTTCTAGTCTCAAAATCTATTTCTCGAATTTGTGCACGCAAATAGAGTGCTCGAAAACGTGGTGTTTACTGCCGTGCCAGCATCATGTTCCCCAAAACGATCGGCCTGTCACAGGGATTCCGCTTCTTTCCCAGCACTGCCTTCTAGCCTGAATGCGCGTTTTTTCAGGTTTCAGCTATGCCACCAAACGCAGGTCACGTACCAGGCGTCCTCACCAAAGGTGTATGGTCTAAACTTCTACGGTTTAGGCTTTCGTTTAGGGAAGCACGAGGTTAAAATCAGGGCCTGTAGTTGCGTTTGTTCCAGCCGCCGTAAACATGCAGGGGGTTCAACTCGCAGTTTGTCGCGTTTGTTCTTCGATTTTTCCATCAGGGGCCTTACTGTTTGGGGTGGATATAGTAGGCTCCCATAAGGAAAGCACAGTGCTTGTTTTGGAAGGTCCCATAACGGAGACTTCGAGCCCGACGCAAGAGTTCATTATAGATTAAAAAGGGATTCTAGGGGGTGCCTTCTGTTTCCTTTTGGATTCTTGATCAGTTCTCAGCAGCCCAGAGGTTTGGGCGTCCGCACGATGCCATCAGCTTGGACGACATCTCCGTGAAGCCTACAGAGTTGGAGAAGGTGGGAAAGAAGAAAATAGGGGCCTAGCGGCCTAAGTAATTTCCAATACTATTTTGGGGGTTCCTTAGTATGATTATGGAATAATGGGCCCCAAAACCATATTATTCTAATTATTAATTAAGGCCCTTATATTAGATCCCAAGCCCCACTTAGGGGTTTGGCGTTGCGTTTTTGGGGCACCCTACCCTGAACCAAAAAAGCCCGTGAATCTACTGCCATGTTGCGACCCCTGCACCCTACAGCCTAGACCCGTTGCGTGTCTTTGTTCTCTCGTCGCAGCCTGCTAGGCTGTGGAGCCTCCAGCACCGGCTGTGGCAGGCTGAGCGCAGTTTGTCGCCGAGCTCAGCTGCGACGGTGTACATCATGTCGCATTGCGTTAGATGATGTGCGACGCGTCGATTTGTAAATGCACCTGTCCCGGTTCTTGAGGGTGTCCCGGGACTCTTGTGGCTTTTAAACCCGCCGCGGAGAGGCTTGCAAACGCGAGCCTGTACATGCAGTCTCACCTGCGAGGGTTTCACACTCGTGAAGCCCGTCAGCTTGGCACCACGTGAGGTGCAGAAAGGCTCTGAGATGCCTTGCAGTCAAGGGTAAAAGGAGGGACCCTTAATAAGGACCCCTAGGTATATACCCTTAATATAGCTACTATATACCCATTATATGGCCCATTATAGGGTAGGGGTCCCCATTAAGGGTCCCTCCTTTTCCCCTTTGATTGCAGTCACATATCGTTCTTGGTTTCTCCCAGGAACAATGGAAAGGTTGGACCCATTGACCGCTTCGTGCGCGATCTCTCCCGTGCTCCAAATACGGCGCGATGAAGCTCGCAACTTGGCGGCACGTTGAGGCCTTCATCAACTTGGAGGTGCCGGGATGGGCATGCAACAGAGTGCCGCTTGGCAGGTCGTCGGGAATATGTTCCATCGGCGGCGGGCTGCATGGTGCTAGCAAAGAGCTGGCAGTTTTCCAGCATGACTACATTCTGGCTGTGAGCCGTGATGTTCGTGTTCATGCAGGGCCTTTTGGGCCAGAAAGTATAACCGGAGCAGTTCATCCACCGCTCACAGGCAATGCTGTAGACCTTCTTAGCTTTGCCCCTGCTGGACAGAGCTCCGGCTTGGGTGATTCCTGGCCTGCCAAGGCGGTATTGGTTCAGCTGACAAGAGTTCAGTACCTTTTTGCTGGAGGTGAGAGATCTGCCAGGAAAGGTGCTACTTTTTGCTCTTGTGCAGAGTTCGAAACCTGTGGCTCTTTTGGCCAAGGGCCATGGGTTGACTGCTTGTGGTGTGGCACTGGCTCAGCTACATTAGTTAGGAAAGCCTTTGTGGTATGCAGAAAGCATATGCTTTCAAGACGAGTCGGCAGCCGAAATCTAGGCAAGATCGCCTCGTTCGTCGTCCCCCAATCTAGTGTCTCTGGACAAGATCCTTGTAGTACCTTACAAGGAACCGGATGTTATCCAGGGAGTGCTACTATAGTACCGTGTGGTACCCTTCTGGTACCCGAAGAGTTCGTTTCCTTCCAAGCCATTGTCATGGCACCGCTGGCTCCTCTCCGTGAGGCGCAGGCGCAGATGTAAAGGGTACTCTGAGGCTACTTTAAGTGTACCATAAGAGTCCTACAAGGGTCTCTAAGGTTATTTTAAGTGTACCATGAGTGTCCTATCAGGGTACTACAGGGGCATCATGAGGGTACCAAAAGGGCATTATAGGGTATTGTAGGGGTACTGTCAGGATGCTGCCCGGATAAATCGCCGAAATGACCTGAAGTCTAGACCCCGAACGCTAAACTGTAAACCCTAAATCTTAGACCTTAATCACTAAACCCTAAACCTTAAGCCCCAAACCTTAACCTTAATCCCGAAACCCTAACCCTTAAACCCTAAACCCTAAACTTTAAACCCTAAACCCTAAACCCGAGACTCTTCAAGCAAGGAAGATGCGGATCACTCGCCGAGAAGCTTGAAGCCATGGCAATGAGTCTTGGAGGCAGAACAAGGTATCCTTCAAGGGTTCCTTCAAGGGATCCTTAAAGGGATCCTTTAAAGGATCCTTTAAGGGAGTCTTTAGGGGTTCCTTTCTTTGGGGATCTACACGGGTGCGCAGAATAAGGTAAGTTACTACTGTAAGGTTACTGCAAGCTTACCTTAGTGTTACTGCAAGGTTACCTTATATAAGATCACCATAAGGGTACTTTGAGGTTGCTGCAAGGTTACTTTTGGCCGCTGACATGTTTGATGCAGCTCTTGCTTATACTACCTTGCAGTAACCTTGTAGCATCCTTCTTGCAGCACCCTTAAGGTAGCCTTATCGACACATTCTAGCACCCTGGACCCAAAGCTCTTAAATCCCTAATCTAAAGGCCCTACGCTGAGGTGAGGAATCCACGACGTCGCCCGAAGAGGCACCATACTCGCGACACTTGGCTGTGCTTGGATCCTAGAGGTTACGACAAGGTTGCTATGAGGGTGCAGGGTATTGTGAGGTTACTGTAAGGCTACTATGACGTTACCGCAACGATGAGTCTCCTATGACGTTACTATAGCGTTATCATGAGGTTCTGAACTCTAGTCCAGTAGACACCCTAAACCCTAAACCCTTTCAGCCCCACGCCCTAAACCCTTAAAGGGAACTCCAGAAAGTTGGAATATGGATTAATGGTAGGATCCCCTATAATTTACTTTAAAGGGGTTGCGATAATGATATTCCAACTTTCTGGCTTCTACTGTAAGGCGTACTGCCACGAGCCACAGAGATACTGAGGCCCGTCGTCTGACGAGGATGCTTGGCAGCCATCGGGTGTGGATGTAAGGTGATTTGTGGGAGTGCTATTAGGGTTTAGGGTGTAGGGTTTGGGGTTTAGGGTTTAGGATTTAGGATTTAGGGTTTAGGGTTTAGGGCTATAAGGTTTCACCTTAGCTCAGAATTCTTGAAACATTTCAGTTCCCTCCATGCCCATTCCGGCGGTTCTCGGCCCCTCGCAGGGCGCGCGAGATGCTGCGGCCCTGCGCCAACACCTGCTCGAGGCACGCTGGAGATTGAACCCGCAGAGTAACCGTTTTGTAAAAAACCTTGGGCCCTAACCCTAAACCCTAAACCCTAAACCCTAAACCCTAAACCCCTAACCCCTAAACCCTAAACCCTAAATCCTAAGCCCTTGAAACCCAACACTCCCTAAACCCATAACCCTAACTCCTTAACTCCCTAAGCCCCAAACCCTAAACCCTGAACCCTGACTCCTTAACCCCCCAAAACCCCAAACCCTAAACCCTTAAAGCCCAAGCCAGCGTTTTCGTGGTGGGCCGAGGCGCAGGGCGAGATCGCTGGGCTGCGCCTGGCCTTGGCCGCCAAGGACCTGGCAGCACGTGGGTAGTTCTCTAAAATTAGGGTTCTTTTAAAGGGTTTCTTAAAAGGATCTATAAGGAATAAGGTGATCTATAACGGTTTCGGGGTTTAGGATTTAGGGTTCTTTCTATAAGGGTGCTGTACTATCCTTGTGGACCTAAAAGGGACCCAAATTTAGAGAACTACTCAGTCTTTCAGTTTCGCTTTTGTTGTCCATGACCCAGAGTCCGACCATTAGACTGAGCTATACCGGGTGATACGAAAGTTCTCTACGTTAGGGTCCCTTTAGAGAGGTTTCTGTAAGTTTCTATATGGGATCTAGAAGGGTTTTGGGCCGTACCATGCTGCTCTGCTATACTCTGCTAGCATGGAGATGAGGAGTCCTTTTAGGGGGAACCCTCCATGGACTCACGCAACTGCGGTAAACCCTAAAGCCTAAACCCTAAATCCCAAAACCCTAAACCCTAGACCCTCAAACCCTAAACCTTAAAAGCCGTAAACCCCAAACTGCCGAGAGCGCCGCTGACCAGTTGCATGGGCGCTCGAGGCTTCGTGAGGGAGGATAAAGCCTCCCGGTAGACGGGGACGGAATTGACTCGGCTACGCCTCACGCAATACGGACGTCAGTCCGTTAAAATTAGGACCTTTGAGCACCACAGTCCTTTTTTGGGTGTTTTTTTTTTTTGGGGGGGGGGTTGGGGGTACCGCCAGGGGGGTCTGGGGCCCCAGGCTGGCCGATTCCAGGGAGCAGGGGCAGTTTTAGGGGCGACCTGCCAAATTTTCCATGCAGATCTTAGAAGCTGCCCCCACCCTGTAATAGTGACTACAAGGATTATATAGGATTATGTTAGGGCGCTATTATATTTCTATTCTACCACTATTACAGGGCCCAGAGACTCCAATATCCCTTAATTAAGGTATATTCCTTAAATTATGGTAGGATCCCTAATATGATTTAAGGAATATTCCTTAATTAAATGATATTGGAGTCTCTGGGGGTGGGGGCAGCTTCTAATGCAGATCCAAGACCTTTTCACAAGGCCTCGCAGAGGCCTCCCGGGAGCCTCCTCCGGCAGCCCCCAGAGACTCCAATATCCCTAGGGGTTCCTTGAAAGGGATCCTTAGGGGTTCCTTTCAGGGATCTATAGGGTTTAGGGTTTAGGGGACTCCAATATCCCTTAATTAAGGAACATTCCTTATCCCTAACCATAATTTAAGGAGTATTCCTTAATTAAGGGATGCTGGAGTCTCTGGGCCCTCCCAGCGATCGACAGCCGCAGCGCGTGCCTTGCAACTTTCGGCTCTATCTTTTTGCTTCGCGGGTGTCTTCGTTTGCTCTGAGATGCGGTCGTTCTTTGTAGAACTGCGAAGGGAAGCAAACAGCAAGAAAGCCCCGCTTGAGGGGGGTTTGGGGTGTGAACCCTAAACCCTAATTGAGAACAGTTGGGGTGTTGTGGCGGGACTACATGCTGACGCAAGCGCGCGATTAGTGGGTGCGATCCTATTCCTAAAGAAAAATTCGCACCTACTGCGCGCATACTGTTACACACCCTAAAACCCTGAACCCTAGACCCCTAAACCCTGGGATGATGACGTCCCGGAGTTTGCCCGAAGGGGCCCCGACAGCCAGGATCGCGTTCGTGCTCGGGGAGCCCCTCCAGAGGACGGGCTCAGGGTTTAGGGCTTAGGGTTTAGGAGCCCTTCTGGTACTTGGAGGATCATGGGACTTAGGGTTCTTTAAGGGGCTCCTTTTATAGAGTTCTATAAGGGATCTGCAGGGATTTAGGGTTTAGGGTCTACTTGGAGGATCACGGGACGAAGTAACTGGGGTTGTAAATGAGGTAACTATACTTAGAACTGATTTCAACCTCGATTAACGTGTTTATACCCTTACTTACTAAGTCCCATGATCCTCCGAGTAGCCATCGCAGGCAGGAATCCTCACAGTAAGCATTTATGGCAACTCGTAGAGTAACCTTTGTCTTCACAGCTGCGACTAACGGATGAGGGGTTGCGTCAGAGCTGAAACCACGGATAAGCCCCTGAAAACCCACACCTTGAACCCTAAAGACTCTCAACCAGAAACCCCTGCCCTAATCCTTCTAGTAGCCCTTAAGCTACTGTAGCCTTTGTCGGACCCTTTCTCGTAGCCTTTATGGGAATCCTTGGAGCAACCTTTAAAGGACCCTTCCAGCAGCCTTTAAAGAGAACCCTATAGTACCCTTATAGGAATCCTGTACCCGCCTTTAAGGTTCTTAGGAACCCCTAAACCCTAAACCCTAAACTTCTGAACCCTCAACCCCTAAACCCCTAAACCCCTAAACCGTACACCCCTACACCCTAAACCCTAAACCCCTAAATCCTAAACCCTAAACCCTGAACCCCTAAACCCTAAACCCCCCAGGGCTCGTGGAGCTTGCGCTTTGCGCAGGACGCTCTTCTCACGGAGCTGAGATCGCTTACAAGGGAGCTTCGATCTGCAATCACCTCCACACGGACCTTTAGAGGGTTTAGGGTTTGGGGGTGCTACAAGGGATCTATAATAGGGTACAAAAATTTCGGGCCTTATATAATCATTAGATTGGGGTTTTGGGATACATTTTACTCGATAAAAGAAATCAGGAATCCCCAAAACCCTATATATTCTAATTATGAAGGCGCCTGCATTATAGGATCTTTAGCGAGGGAAATATCCTTACGGAAATCGGGGTAGCTTGGGGAGTACTAGGGAGAATTGGGATGGCGATGTCCCAGAGGAGGACTGCACTTCCCTAAAGACCCTGCAGCCTCCAAAACCCTTCAATCAAGGAATATACCTTAAATCATACAAGGGTCCTGTTATAATTTAGGGTATATTCCTTAATTAAGGGGTTTTGGAGGCTCTGGGACCCTGCAGCAGGTTGCGACTCAGGATGTGGAGATTTTGCATCTAGGGCCTAGGGTTTTGAGGTGTCGGTTCAGGATTTTCAGGGTTTAGTATAGATTTAGGATTTTGAGTTTAGGGGTCGTGGCTTTGAATGCAGAGAAGGCAGGCGCCCTTCATCCTTACACTCATTCAACTTTCCCTGTGGGCAGTGCAGTGTCATTGCTTGGAGGATCATGGGACTTAGTAAGTAAGGTTATAAGTGCCCTAATTGGAGCTATAAGTATGGTTACCTTGTTTATAACCCTAGTTACTAAGTCCCATGATCCTCCAAGTGGGCTTTGAGGGGTTGAGTGCACCGATGCGGCTTGCAGCAGGACATGCAAAGCTGACCCTCGCAAGGAGAGGGTGGTCACTTGCCCGGGCTTTCGTCAAGGATTTTCACTTCAGTTATATACTATTATAGAAATCGTCTTGGCTACTACAGGTCCTGATTATGGTAACTTACATTACACTCCTCGGCCAGGGCCCTTTTTTCGAAGAGTGCTTGGAGGTTCATCGGACTCAGAAATTTTCAGCTGCATGAATTGGGGTTATAATTAGTTATACCTATAGTTACCTTGAAAATAGCCTGAGTTACTAAGTCTCATGAATCTTCACCTGGGGGTGATGATCGGCAACCTGCGCCACTTGGAGGTTCAAGGGACTTAGTAAGTACAGTTATACGTGCACTAACTGGGGCTATACTTGATTACAAGTATAGTTACCTTATCTATAACTCTATTTACTATGTCCCATGAACTTCTAAGCAGAGCTCATGCGCAGGAGCAGCGGACATGCCTCAACAAGGCGTCGTGCTCGCAGGGGCCTTCTGGATGTTCCCGGAGAGCCCAATACGCCTTGCTCAAGGAATCTAGGTATCCAAAATTAGAAGGGGCCTGAATTCTACGAGTTATGGTTTCTTCCTGAACCCTAAACCCTAAACCTTTTGAGCCCTGACCCCTAAACTTCAAACCCTCCCTAAACCCTAAACCCTATTGGGCTCTCTGGGCGCCTCTGAGCGCTGAGTCACGAAGTTGCCGCCGGCGACGTTCTTTTTTTTCTGCTGTTCTCAGGTCGCCCAGGTCGCCGGGCCGCAGCCCTCAGAAGGTGCCTTAGGGTTTCTTTTGTTCTTTCTTAGGGTTCCTTAACGGGATCCTGACAGGATTCCTTAAAGGGATCTATATAGGCATCTAGAAAGGGCTTGGGGCTTAGGGTTTAGAGTTCTATAGGCTTTAGGGTTCAGTGGGGGATGGTCGCCAAGCTTCTGCTCTTCCGGTATCATGGCAGACACAACAAGGACACTTGCTTCTAGCCTTCTTGCAATATACGCTAAACCCTAAACCCTAAACCCCAGACCCTAAACCCTAAATCCTAAAGTCCTAAACCCCAAACCCTAAACCCTAAACATTACGTTAATTGGCCCTCAACTGTTGAGCCTTTGTGGGCGCAGGCAGTCAAGGCGGTCGAGCCACAGAAGATTCTGGCAGAAGTGGTGGCGCAACTGAAATTCAGGTTGAGGGTTTAGGGTTTAGGGGAGAGTGAGTGGAGGTTTCTTTTCGGTGTCTTCATGCTGTGTACACGCGTCCCTCGCAATCTGCAATAATCGTACGGTGCAGAATTTTGGAATTATTCCACACACCTACTCTAATTATTCAGCCCTTCATAGTAAGGATCCCTTTGAACAGACGCAACCTGATCAAGCCTTCATAAAATCCTGAAACAGCTTCTTGTAACATCGTTTAAGCGCACCCTAAACCCTAAACCCCCTGTTCAAACTATAAAGTATCGGGGCTTCTACATGCTCACCGACTGCACCCTAAACACATAACGCTGTAATCAAGCCCCAAGCGCTGGAGCCGATGCAGGGTGCCTTAAGGGATTTATACGGGTTCCTTTATGGGTACCTTTCTATCTTTGTAGGGCTCTTTATTAGGATTTCTTGAGATAAGTCCTCAAAGAGGAAGGTTACTTCAGGTTAAGGTAAGCCAAAACCCAGAGACTCCAAAACCCCTTAATTCGGCAATAGACCTTAAATCATATGAAGGATCCTATTATAATTTAAGGTATTAATTTTAATTCAGGGGTTTCGGAGTCTGTGCATTGAGGAACGGAAGATCCAGCTCCTACGGGGCCAGCTTGGCCAAGGTTCAGGCGCCTCTCTGACCTTTGCAAGGGTTTATGGGGGTTTGGGGGTTTAGGGTTCAGGAAGATCATAGGACTTAGTAACTACGACTTCACTTAATGTAACGATGGCTAAAGTTACTTATGGCCCCAATTAAGGTGCGAATAACCTTTCTACGTCCCATGCTCCTGGGAGTAGGCGCTTGGGGTTTCAGGGTTCAGGCTTTGGGGCTTTCGGTGCTTAGTTTAGGGTTTAGGGTTTAGGGTTGGCGGAGTTTTGGGGTTTAGGGTTTAGGGCTTAGGGTTTAGGGTTTAGGGTTAGAGTTTTGGGGCTTTTGGTTCTAGGCTTTGGGCTTCCCGAACATCTCAAAGCACCGAACCTGGAAACCCCAAAGCCTCAGAGCCCGAAAAGCCCAGAGGCAGGCCTTTGAAGCACCAAGAGCCCTTCGAAGACTCCAAAACCTCTTAATTAAGAAATATACCCTAAATTATAGCAGGATCCCTTATATGATTTAAGATATATTCCTTGATTAAGGGGTTTTGGAGGCTCTGGGGCCCTTCTAAGACTCATTGCACTTAAAGGTGAGGGTTTACTTGGAGGACCGTGGGACTTAGTAACTAGGGTTATAAATAAGGTAAACATACTTATAGCTCCAATTAGGGTACTACTTACTAAGTCCCATGATCCTCCAAGTAGGGTTAAGGGAAACAGAGAAGCCTCAGGCACCCTAAACCGTAGATCCCCTCCCCAGACTGCCAGGAGGATCCAGAAAGTAGATCCCTTAATGGGGTTTCTATAAGGTACCCTTAGTAGTATAGGGCCCCAAATTAGGAGATCTACTTTCTAGATCCTTCCGGGGGTTTGGGTCTAAGACTGATACCGAGCCCCAGGCCAACGGAAGGGTGCGGTTTCTGGAGCATTGACGCCACAGCCCCCACCGTGCCGGGAAATCGCCCGTGATCTGAAGCACGTTGCCAGACCATTGAGGTGCTTTCCAGCGAGTGTTAAAGGATTTCTTGAGACCCTAAGACCCTAAACCCCTAAACCCTAAACCTTAAACCGTGGTATAGGAGCTTTATAGGAGTTCTGTAAGGGTTCCAAAAATCAGGGCCTTGTGGGGCCGTTCGAGGAATAGATAAGGGTTCCAAACGAGCCCCACTTGGAGGATCTTAGGAGATGAGTATGTGCAGTTATAAATGCCCCAACACGGGTCATAATTTATGGTTGTTGCAAGTACAGTTCATGTATACCCTTAGTTGCTGAGTCCCATGAACCTGTATGTATCGGAGTTGTCTAAAGGTTCTAAAAATCCAGGGCCTTTGGAAGGGTTCTCAAGGGTTCCATAAGGGTTTTGCAAGACCTAAGGTGGGGTTCCAGAAGAGGTTGTGGGGGTTCAGGGTTGGTGTCTTTTCATGGGTTTTCCGAGACGTTGTATACAAGTTCTATCAGGAAGCTTCTGGGGGTTTTGACGAGGTTTCTATCAAGACTCTACAAGGACGGGTTCTATGACGTGTTTGTAACAGGTCTAGTTGTGATGGGCCTCGAGAAGAGTCTTATAGGGATTCTTTATGGCTTCAGGGTTCCGGGGTTTGTCAGTGTCTTCCTGGTTTCGGGGTTTGGGGATTGAATATGGTTGACTTAAAAATCAATTCGAATGACACTCACAATCATGGGGCTGTGGAAGCAGGCTATTTTTGGTGAGTTTATAGGAGCTTTGTAAGATTTCCTACAAGGGCAGTTTGTAGCAGAACCAGCAGAGTCCAAACCATAAAACCTAAACCCAAGACAAAAAGCGCCAAACCCGAAACCTTACACCGTAAACCGCACAGGTCCGAGAAGAAGGATGCGGTGCACGGTTGCAAGAGCGAAGCCCCACGAAGCCCCGGCCCATCTTCGCCAGAGACGAGGCCACGGCCCCAGAGTTTTCTAGGAAAACTACAGAGCACTAAACCCTTAAACCCTAAGTCCGAAGCCCTCAACTAATATAGGGACCTCAATAATTACCTATACTGTTTCGGGGGCTCCTTTTTACAATTATAGTATCCCCCCCCCAACCCTATTCTAATATTAAGGCCCCTATGGTTTCCTAAACCTTAAGCCCTAAACCCGACAACCGAAACTAAACCTAAATCCAACACCTAAAACCCTCAGCCTTGAAGCCTAGACACCAAATTCTCAGGACAAGGGCAAGGTCTCTTTCGGAGAGAAGCCGACGCCTCTCCGAGATCTCTCTTCGTGGACTTGAGAAACTTGAGGAGAAGCAGGCTGGGTGTCCTTACTTGGAAGGGCAGGGGACTTAGTAAGTAGGTTACAAGTAGGGTTATAAGGGTTCCTTAAAGGGTTCCGTAAAGGGCTCCTTTAAAAGGGTTCTATAAGCGATCTATAGGGGTTTAGGGTTTAGGGTTTAGGGTCTACTTGGAGGGGCAGGGGACTTAGTAAGTAGGTTATAAGTAGGGTTATAATTGGGGTAACTCTATGTAGGGTACTTATAACTCTACTTATAACCTACTTACTAAGTCCCCTGCCCTTCCAAGTACTTCGATGCGTTTTGTTTTCATACTAACTGGGAATGGTAAGGATGCTAACAAAAGTAAGAGCAATAGAAGTAGTAAGTACGGTAACAATGCTGATATCCGTAACAGTATTTAACAGTAATACTGGTAACAATCTTGATAGTCGTAATAATGGTAGAAACAGCAACTATATAGTCATAATGGTCGGGTCTTTAGGGCTCATAGAACAACAGCCAGAGGACTTATGAGAGTTTAGGGTTTAGAGTTCGTGGGTTTTGGATTTAGGGTTTACGGTTCAAGGCGTTGTGGATCGAGCCTGTTTTGCCCCGGTATCGCCAGTAGGTGTGACCGAGCCATACAGGCGTGCCCAGCCCCAGCGACCGCTTGCGGCCGCGCCCTGTTTCCTCCCGGCGGAGGTACAACTGCACTTGCCTCTGCTGGGCGGTGCCAACTGGAGGCCTTGGGAGGCCTGGTTTTTGGGCTCTGGCCCTCTTCTGCGTCGCTGCTATTTGATTAGCCGACGCCTGGGGTGCGTCCCCTTTTCTGGCCTTTTATCCAGGGGTGGCTCCCTGTGGCCTCTGCTGGGCGGTGCCAACTGGAGGCCTTGGGAGGCCTGGTTTTTTGGGCTCTGGCCCTCTTCTGCGTCGCTGCTATTTGATTAGCCGACGCCTGGGGTGCGCCCCCTTTTCTGGCCTTTTATCCAGGGGTGGCTCCCTGTGGTTATGCCCAGGCGGGGCCCTTTTTGCACCATTGTGGTCCTGGCCCTTTTTGGTGTGTCTTTGATCTGGTGGGGCTCCGAGACGGGCCATCATACCGCGGACGCGCAGTCCGCCTTGGCACCGCAGACTCCGCCGACAAAGGAGTGCTGCACGTGCCCGTCTTCGATCTGGACGAGGTCGGCCTTTGGACAAAGTTTTGTTGAACAATCATCACGGCAGTCGCGCTCCTATGGCGCCGAAGACTGCCCCGAAGTCGAGCAAGCAGCAGGCCAAGGGCTCCGGCAAAGGTCAGGAATTCCCCTCTTCCAAGTTGGAGTTTGGATATCCTGCGGCGCTGAACACGGCCCTTCAAGCTATTGGGGCAAGAGCAACCCAAGATCTCTGGCGTGGCCCCCAGCTTGGCGATGGGGATGCAACTGCAGAGCAACTTGCCCAGAGGAGGGCCAACATGGTATCCAAACTGGCCAAGCGTGTGGATGGCGATGCTCGTGCCAAGCAGGCGCTCAAGGAAGCGCTAGCGGCTTGGAGTATCTCGCTCGGCAACCACCTCGAGCAGCTCCTCACTCGCGTCCGTGCTCTCAGCAACAAACTCGACGAGGATCTAGTCGAAGCGTGCGGGGAGCTAGAGACCCAGACCAGGGATGTTGCGTCATCCTCTACGGACGACAAGATCGCTGCCGCAAGGGCATCACTTGGGCCCGCTTGGAATGTCATACAAGAAGCCGAGGTGCTTCGACTCGCGGCCGGTCTACGTGCCTTCGGCAGTGTGGCGGCCGATGGAATGGCTGGTGGGCTGTTATCCGGACCTGCCACCAACCATGCTCCAGTACCGGTCGGTGCCGAGGGCTCCGAGGTCAGTTTTGGTGGATGGATCCCAGAGCTGGTGCCACCCTCAGGGCAGGACTACGGAGCAAGTTCGGCCAGTATCGCGGGTGGCGCTCCTTCTCCCCCGGCCTCGTCAGCCTTGTTCCTTGCGGGGGATCGACCGGCCACTCGTTGGAGGAAGAGGGTCAGCGGAGCTGTGGAACGACCCTCCAAAAGCCCCCGCCGTGGACCCGCACCGGACACCGAGGTCGGCGAGCCGTGGGTGAGGAATACAACGGGCCTCACCCCCCAGGGAGTCTCCCGACCACGCCAGACAGCCATGGACGAGGACACCGAGTTGATCCCGGACAAGGGTGCGCTACAAGAGGCCTGGTGCCGTGCTTGGATGGCTATCCTGGCGATGGTGGCAGAAAGTGGCGACGATGTTGTCGGAGAGCTTTCTGTGTGCGACGAGAGGGAGGCAGCGCTACCGCGGCACGAGGACGACCAATCCGCGGACAAGCTGGTTGCTGCGGCAGACGAGCTTTGGGAGTTCCTTGTGCAAGTGGTGGCTGCCCCATCCCTGGAACAGCTGGCAGCTCTCCATGCGCGACTGCATACCTTGCTCTGCGACCTTCGGAGCTGTTCAGGGGCCCTACCTCGCATCCGCCAGGGATTGTTGGTTGCCATCCATGCGGCGCTTGGCAGTCTGCTCGACCCGTTCAGTTACGCGCCGGGCACACTTCAGGAATGGTTGCACCCATCCCTTGTGGTGGAGCAGGGCCTGGTCAGGCAGGGATATCTGGCGACCGAGATGGCCTCCAATGCACATGCCCAAATTCTGTGCAGGATGCCTTGTCCGTTCCCTTTGGCCACAGCACCTCAGCCCAGCTCTTGAGCGATGGAGTCTCTGTTGACATCGACCCTGCTAGTCGCGATCTTGGGGGCTACGTTTGTTCGCATCTCCCATGGATCGCGGCTAGCCTTTTCCTCGGGCGTTGTCTGATTCTGTACATAGCTCTGTGTAGAGTTGTAGCGGTTTCAGGGCGGTCCCTTGCGACATATGGCCCCCGCCTTTCTTGGCGACGATCGTGGCAGCTCAGTTGCGTTCTTTCAGCAACCGCTTGGTGGGTTGCTGCTGCAATCGGACCACCGGTCTCCATGATGCTGTGTGCCATAACCAGTGAGCTCTTGGCTGGCCTTCCTGGACTTGCCTTGGATTTTGGCTCTGCCCTACGTTCTGCCAGTCAGCACTGTGTTCGATTCCTCCCTGTCGTGGGTTTTGGACCCGGCTGCGTGTGGGGTCGTGGTTTGACTTGGCCCCGCAGCCACTGGCAACCGGACTGCGATGACGAGCAGACATGGCCTTGGTTCCTTTCCATCTGGCACCTTCTTTTCGCTGCGTGTGGATGTGTTATGCCGGCTGGGGCCCGATCTACCGGTCGCAGGGTGCACGGAGTGCGTTACTGTGCGAAAGCGAGACCACGGAAGCCCCGTGGCCCTAACTTTCATGTGACCTTGCTCCTGCTCTACCTCTCGGTCGCCGACGGAGCTACTCTCCTCCCTGTTCTCAGCACAGGTCCCGTTCTTCCCACTCCCAGTGCTGATGAGATGTGTGACGTCTATCCTGTCGGCCGTACTGGTAACTTGCTGTTACCACGTACAGACCGTAGCCGCAGGCATCTCGCTGTGTTTGTGGGGACACCTCCTGGCGCGCCCGTCCTCGACCCATGTCCCATTCCCTTTCTGGTTGATGAATAGCTGCATGGGCAACTACTTCATGCTAGGTTAGCCGCTGCTCTAGGCTTCCATGCTGGGGTTTTCTCTGTGTCTGGGGTCCGCGGAGTTCTTCCTGGGTTGCCGAGTGAACAGCTTCTCCTCACACCAGTTGCTTGTTCATGGCGGCAGGTGTGGCTGCCCGTCGATTTGCGACAGCTTGGCGGCCGAGTGTGTATGATACACTGTCCACGTGATTCCACATGCAGAGCAATCGCCCAACTCGCCCTTGCTGCCCAAACCTTGACGGCTGAGGTTGACCTTCTTCTTGCTAGATGCACGTGGGGCTGGCTGACCCTTGTCTCCCAGCCCCTCTTCTTGCAAGATGTTGACACTCTGCAGTTTCAGATCGGTCCGGCTGTCGAGGCGTTACAAGGTCCAGTCGGATCCTCCCTTGATCCGCCCCTATCTCTCTTTTCTGCGATGCAGGTGAGCCTTCCTACTGCTCCGGCCGCTTACGACGCCTTTCCGGGTCACTCGCATAACCAGGCTGTTCTTATCACACCCAACGGGTTAGTATACGTTGAAGCCCCGGTTTTTGCTGATGCCGCGACCTTCAGACGCATCGAGGGCCTCCCCTGCTGCTACTGGGGGCGTGTTGCGTATCTGGCATCCACTTCCCTCGCTCCCTCTTGTCCAATTTCTTGAGGTTCATTGTAATGAGGAGGAAGTGCCGTGCATTTTGGATTTCCGTCCTGTGGGCTGGAGACTGACTACTGTCTGCATCTCGCCCCCTGTCACTGCGCTCGCAGCGGTCACAGCAGCTTCGCGTCGAGATCGCAACAGTCTTCCCCATGAATGGGTCGATCAGTGTGCCAGGGGTGGCTTCGGTCTTCTTCACAGGGAATTTTCTGTGCTTCCGGACCAGGTTATTTCAGGGAGTTTTCCGTTGGTGATCATGTTCTTTCCGCATGTTTTTCGCCAGGACTCCTCGTCTTCCTCGGAGGACCAGGTCGGAGGGTGGGACACTCCGGGTACATCAGATACCATTTCCGCCTTACAGCACACCCTGTTGCCCTCACCTGCCAGAGCTTCTGCGTCCGCCAGCATGCCTGCCTGCACCGGCGTTACACCCTCTGAGTTCCTTAATTCCTCGTTACCTAGCGCTGCTGAGCAAACTGAGGAGACTGCTTCGGATGTGTCCGGTGCTGTCCACCTGCTGCGAAGGCCCTGGGTAGTTTTTATTGTCTTGGGGACCTTAGGTCGGCATGCTGGAGGGCAACCTGGACTTGGCACGTGGAGTGTTGCTAGCTTACTGCTGTACATTTCGCCTGTTACAGCGGTTCAAATTCACAGCGAACCTGCCTCGCCACGCGACGCTGTTATTTCCGCTGCCAGAGCTCCTGATCGCCAGATTGCTGCCCCTGCGGGAGCCCACTCCCATCTGCAGTCCAAGTGGCTTCTGACTGGTGACTTTGGCGATGGTCCTCTCTGGTTATCACTGCCGTCACC